CCACACGGGGATGGGCACCCCTTCAGGGGACTGCACCTCAACTCCTCTGAGGCCACCAGCAAGCAAAACTGTGGATGCTAGGGTCTACCCACACGCAAGCAGGAGACATGCTCAAGGCTGGCAGAGGTCACTGCTTGCCCCCAGCTCGCCTGCATGCATGGATGCCCAGAGCCAACATTTGCATGGGGCTTGGACCTTGGCCACTTCAAACAGCACCAGCACCTGAGATCAGGGGCTCCCTCCGGTGGGGTGGGGCGACAAAAGTGTGTGACATTCTGCAGGATCTAGCTCACCCACCCACTGGTCCGCTGCAGGGGCTGTCCAGAGGGAGGTTTGTGGAGGCTGCGGTCTGGCTGTGTGCAAGAATCAAGGCCAAGGCGCCTGGCTTAGAGAAAGCTTGGGATCTCAGTTGATCAGCCCACAGCCTTGGTCTGTGTGCTCTGAGCTTGAACCCTCAGTCTCTCCTCAGCTTCCTGTTCGCAACAGGTGGAGACACTACCGACTCACAGGACCCATGCTCACATCTGTGAGGGACTGTCCATGGGAAGGCTCACTCCCTCTGGAACTAGAAACCCAGCTCCACTCTGCATTGGCCAGTGTCCAGCCCAGGAGCAGAAGCCTTATGCTACTGCAGATACTTAAGAAGACTCAGGGGCAAGCTGCAGAGGTGCCAGGCACCCCCCGTCCTGCCCCCAAAGCCTAAGTCTGGGAGACCTGTGGGCCATGGCCACAGTGACCCTCATCTTCCACTCCTAGTTGAGACTCCATCCTCACAGAAGGTGGAGGATCCACAACATTCTAGAAGCAGATCTCCTTCATCCTTTGCGGGGTGTCCTGCAGAAGGGTCAGCCTGATGCACACAGTGGGACTGATGGGCCGGATCACTCAGCAGCCCCTGGCAGGGCAGGACCCAGGCAGTTAGGTTGCTTGGCAGCTGGATTTCCAGTCCAGTGTGTTTCGCAAACCCTGCCTGAAATTTCCCTTTGTAATTAGGCCTATTGTGTGAAAACATCAGATGTGAGGATGCAATACTTTGGTTCTTTCGTCTCAGATGTAAGAATTATTTGAACGTCACACAAATCTCATTTCCTGTTTGTAAAGCAACACTCAGTCCCCTTCACTCAGCATCGGGAAAGGAGACCAGCCCCACCCTCGCACACAGGTCAGGCCACACTTAGCAAACCCTCCAGCAACCACAGGGCAGCTTCAGGGCCTGGCACCTGGCACCCCAGTCACAAAGAACGAAACCATAACAGACCCAATGTCCAGGCAGGGGGCTTAGTTCAAGGGGGTGGGTGGTAGGCAGTACTGGCTGCAAAAGCAACACGCTTGGGCAAAGTCTGTTTTCTCTCTCCCCAGCCCCCTCTTTTTCATTGGAAAGACAGATTTACAGAGGGAAGAGATAGATTTTCTGTCCATTGGTTCATTCCCCAAGTGGATGCAACAGCTAAAGCTGAGCTGATCTGTAGCCAAGAGCCTCTTCCATGGTGCAGGGTACCAACGTTTTGAGCCATCCTCTACTGCTTTTCCCAGGACACAAGCAGGGAGCTGGATGGGAAGTAGGGCAGCCAGGACAGAAAGTGGTGGTTATATGGGATCCTGGTAGATGCAAGGTGAAGATTTAGCCACTGAGCCATTGTGCCAGGCTTAAAGTCTTTCAATTCAAAGTTTTTTTAAAATTCCTGTACTCTTGGGGTTGAGAGCAGGATGGATCCATCAACTATCTCTGAGAGCTAAGAGAGTGCTGCCAGGCGCCTAGGTGTCCCGCTTGCAGGAAGCTGGCCTGCCACCTTCTTCTGACCAGCCAGGAGTGCTGTCTACAGGGACAGGTCTGCACGAGTAGAACCTAAGCTTAGTCAAGTGAGTTCTTGGAGGTACCAGATCCAGTGGCGTACAGAACAGTGTAGACCGTGACAATGAGGAGTCTTCTCTCAGGTCAGGCAGCTTCACAATTGCACCCAATCACAAGGGAAGAGTAAGGCAGTCATGGAGGAAACCTCTGAAACGGATGCACAAATAGCAGAGATGACGAGTTTTATGATCTGGTATTCTCAAAAGCTAAAAAATTTTCACCGCTTTTCCCTTTCTCCAGTAGACGTCAATGAACAATTCCTTTCTCCGTTTTATAAGGAATTTATAAAGATCCCCTAATTAATGAGAGAAACAGAAAGTGTGTGTTCCCAACCTCTGCTTCAACTCCCCAAATATCTGGGAGCAGGAATCCAGGAAACCACCTACTTAGGCCACCACCTGTGCGCCCCCCAGGGTCTGCATGAGCAGGAAGCTGGAATCAGGAGCTTGAGGCAAATTTCAAACCCAGACCCTCTTGTATGGGATGGGGGGGGGGGTCTTAACCAGTATCTCAACAATTAGGCCAAACAGCTGCCCAACAATTCCTTCAAATTCAAAGACAACAAAATTAAAAAGCCATGTTTATTGTGTCAAACACCAGAGGTCAACTTTACAAAAATCACAACTTGGGGGCTGGCACCACGGAGTGAGGCGAACCTCTGCCTTTGGTGTCAGCAACTCATCAGGTTCGAGTTGCAAAGGCTCCACTTTCAGGAAGCAGGTGTAGTGGGCCCAACTCCTTCGGAGTTGCAACACCTGCACAAAGCTTTCTGGCTCCTGGCTTGTACAGGTCCAGCTCTTGCCATTATGGCCATTTGGGGAATGAAACGGTGGATAAAAGATTTTCTTTCTCTCTCTCCTTCCCTCTGTATAACTCTGCATTTCCAATAAATAATTCTTTAAAAAATATATACATGTATCACACTGTTTATCTGTGATAGTCCCACCATCAGGTCCAGATGTGGTAAGGGAAAATGTCTTTAAAACCTCTTTGCAGTTTGCAACAAGAGCAGTTGGTGTCAGCATGACCAGTACTGGCTCTTGAAAAGAACCAATCTCAAACACGATCTTTGAGATGTGCAACACACGTAAGGCAGAAGTCCCATGATGCAAGGGAGTGCTGATAAACAGAGGGCTTGGTCCTCCTTACGTCTTGACTTTGGTCATGTAAACAGGAACTACATCCAGCACAGTGATAGCTGGCTTAGCTGACCTATGAGATGCATAGTTGTCATAAAAACAACAGAAAGCATACCTGGTAAGGACTGCAGTGAGCCAGGGTGTGGAAGCCACGTGCCCTGTGTTGATGGGGCTCCCGCCTGCCTGGCTCCTGTGGGTCCCTCCAGTGAGTTCAATGGGAACAGAGTGCACTCTCCTGCCCAGAGCCCCAGGAAAGGCCACACCCTGACAAAAAGCCATAGCCCCTGGGGATGCTGTCAGCCAGTGCCTCTGGAGTTAAGATGCTTGGGGCTAAACCTCAGATGTTTGGCACTGTGTCCTTTCTCCTGGGTGAGCACTTTATTCATGGGCTTCTTACGGAAGCCCCCGATCTAGTGAAAATAAGACTGACATTGGTAGGCCACCTGGGAGCAGCAAGATGTTGGGAAGTGGTCAAAGGAATGTCTCAGCGCCACCATGTGAGTGGTTTGGCCAAGAGTTCTACAAATGATATGGACACAAGGAGAGCATAAGCAGGCCTGGCAAGCCCAGAGTGACAGAACAGGACAAGCATCTAATATTCGACTCAGCTTCTTGAGAAAGACACACAGAACAGTCCTCCTGTCCCATTCCCAAAACAATGATGTCTGTTAAGACAAGAGGCTTGCAAATGGGTAATTTATAATCTAATAATTCAGCTACTGGATGAGCACTTGGAAACATAGGTTCTGTATCCATCAGTGAGGACCATCCCCAAATAACCATAGGACACAGGCGGGCAAAGCAGAGCAAGTCTGGAGGTGCAATTTTAAAGGGGGGTTGGTTTTATAGTCATCGCAGTCAAGAGCTTTTGCTCAAAAAGGAAAAGAAACGTTGACCTCCAAGAAAGAGAGCGGACAGCAATCTGAGGATGTTCCTGGCTGTTTCCTACAAAGCTGGGAAGGAAAACAGTAGCCCTCACACTGTGCCCATCACATATGTGCAGTCACCTGACATGCCCGACAGGTGCCTTCTCGATGCTGGACTGGGAGGAAGGACCTGTCAGAGCACCAGGCCCAGCTCTCCTGGAAAACAACTTGGCAACAATGGTGTGCCAGAGGCAGGGAGAGGAAGGAGATGCCACGTCCCATGCACCTGAGCAGGCATGCTTAGAAAAGCAGGACACAGAGGGAAATGGAACATACCCAGCTGCCAAGCAAGGGAATGGTTACGAACAATGTCCCTGTCTCAGAAAGGGCTCTGGGACTGGCTGAAGAAGTGCAGGCAGGCTTCTGCATCACGAACCTCTGCCTCCCTTCCCCATCCACACAGGTGCGTGTGTGTGTGTGTGTGTGTGTGTGTGTGTGGCTCTGGGTCACATAGCAAGGCTCAGAACCGTGGCCCAACCCAGCCCATTCCCTTTGTCAGGTTACTCTGGCACAGTCACTGTGTGGCATTTCTGCCACCATGTGACCACCCGTGGGGGCAAGTCTTAGTGCAAGACCACTGAGCACCCAGTGGTGGCCCAGAGCACAGGAGCACAATTTGTTGAAAGGTCTCTTCACCTTAGACTCCTTCAGCAGTCGAATAAATAAATAAAAATAAAAACACAGGCCCCCTCTAGGGTTAAAGATTTCCTTAAAGGGAGGGAAGACATTGACACCTTTGTGCTCTGTGAAACAGGGAACAAAAGGATTGCTTTCAATGGGTTTGTATCTGCAAGCTAATCAACTGGAGGGGGAAAAAAAAATCCCACTTGGCAACCATTATCAGAGTAAAAAACAATGAGCATGCTATTCTCAAACTATTCGGGCAGGTTAGGAAGTAGGGCACTTACAGCTGAAAAACCTTGAAAACACCTGTTTGTTCCCTCGTTCTCCTCACTACACAAAACAACCACACATCCACGCCACTCTAAAGCTCACCTGCGGCAGGCAGGAATCGCTCACGAGCAACAGAAGGCACCCAGAAGCCGCAAAAGAAACGAGTATTCGGTGGAGATCGCCTCTGATGGGCTTTCACGCGGGTTTTATTGAAAACAGACCCATCGCGGTGAACTACCGGGGAGGGTGTTTTACAGCATGGCACACACGGAAGGTAACACTCACCAGCACCTCACATGGGACTAAAGACAACAGTGTCAGCTCTAACACACCAGGGCGGGTAAAACAAAGCGAATGTCAAAGGCACCTGGGGGAGGGGCGCAGCAGCCACAGTGTCCACCGCCCCGTCACGGGCTCGCTTTGGGAGTGTGGCTGGATGGTTTGGACAAGTGACATTTGCAACGGGACAAAAACAGGTTCAGACGTGGAGCCCCAGGTTCCAACGCAGGAGGCCGACCCTTCCTCAGACGGCAGTGCACCTGCCACGCGGTGGGAAGTCTTCAAAGTCTTGGGGGGGCTGAGGATGCTATACAGAAACACACAGTGCTGCCCGTTTTCCTCTCCAGATTCCAGGAAAAGCAGCCCTCCCTTAATTTCAACAGTGCCTTCTGAAGGCATGTATGCATCCTAAACTTAAACAAAAACAACAAAAGATGCAAAGGTGGCCTGAACTTAACAAACACACCCATCAGCTGGAAAGACAGGTCCATAAGAATCACGCCTGGGACCCGCGCAGCGACCGGGCGAATGCCTTGTCTGAAGGCGGTTGACGCCACCGCATCTACAACACAGGCGAGCGCCAGGCAACTCCGCCATCAGAGAGCTCCCTGGTCCATCCCGCACACTGCACTGCCACGAGCGATTGTGTGCCAAGTGCTCAGGTTAGGACAGACCCCAGACTGGCCGAGATTCCCCTGCTTGCGGCCAGGTCTATGGGCAACAAGACTTACACCTTTCACACAGTAACCCCACCCCTCCCCCCAAAGTTGCCGCTCCCCTGGGCTCTGCGGGTTCTGACCTCCTCACGGGGAGGTCTAAGCGACTTTCGGCTTCCCTTTCTTCGTGGGTCGAGGCACTCTCTGGGACATCTTTGATTGGCCAGGGGGCAGAGGGGGAGGGTCTTTCATTTCTTTCCCACTCCATTGGTGACTTTGGACTTGGAATGTCGATTCCGTCTTCTGGAAGAATGGCTTTCGTTGTTGCCCGAATGCTTGGGTGGGCTGTCTTCAGAACCTGAACAGGGAAATCAGAGTACAGGGTCACCTGGGGCTGGGCAGGTGTGGGCTCTCCTTCCAGCTGCCCTAGGCCTGCCAGCCCACAGCCAACTCTTCCCTGATACACGCACGCCCTCTAGTGGCAGAAGCCCCACAAAGCATGTGGCCTGTGAGCAACGACGGTGATCAGGACCAGAGGTGGGAGAGCAAATGAAAGCAAGGCACAAATGAGGGACAACTTAAGCTGATGGTGTAGGGTTGTCGGAGTGGAGCGGTTCCTTCCTATCTGCAAAGTGTGCATTCACTGCCTGGACTTTTTATCTCAACCTGTGACACACCAGGGTTCCTAAGCCCTAAGCTTTGGACAGTTAATGGGGGTGCATGGGCTCCTATCTTTTGGTCTAAGCCATCTTGACCAATCAGGCTCTGGCTAGCCCTGAGAGCCAGCCCTGGGGCCACACTACAGTGGCACCACGGGGCTGGCTTGGTCCTCATATTGGAGACAAGCCCTGGCCTAGCAGCTAAGCCAATGGGCAATCTGCCCCAAGGTGCTACCATGAGCCATCTTCATCTGAGAGTTGCTCCTTCATCCAGGAGATTCTTTGGCTTTTTTCCCTTCCTTTCCCCATTACCTTCCTCTTTTGACTGTTGCAGTGAATCAGTCTAAAACCCCAGCTGCTTCACTCTTTTCCATAGAGCACATGCAGGAGCCACGGACTGGGTGATTTTATCTAAGGTGAAAACCTTGTGCCTCACCCTCCATCAGCAGTCCATGGCAAGACACCCATCCCTCTCCTCGCACGGCGAGAAGCCAGCCTCATAGAGTGGCTGGCCCCTCAGCAGACTGTGGGCTGGTGTGTCCCCTGGTGGGGAAGTCCAGTCAGCTTCACCCCAAAAGAACCCAGCAGGCAACTGTGCCGGTGGCACCTCTGTCCCTCCTCGGCCTCCAGGCTGACTCATCCCTGCCAAGGGCCACGCTTCCCACTCGGCTCCTAAGAACCAACCAGCAGCCACTGGCCAAAGGGCCCGCCTCGATGTCACCAACACGCAGGCTGAACTCCTTAAAATAAAAACACGTGACTCCCCAAGCTTTCCAACACACTCCCTGCGACGCCTCTCGAACAGACGCCATCAAACCAATTTGTCTCTTGCAACGGGCTTCGACCAGGTGCGCGATTCCCTCCAACGGAATGCTCTTCGCTGGTGATGCAGATCCCAGGGGAAGAGCGGTCCCTCCACGGGGCCCAAGTCAGGGCCCCACTCTGGAGCGGCAGCAGACAGGTGGCAAGGGGCTCGGGGATCCTGCGAGGCCTACACAATGCACGCTCTAGAGGATAAACACTCAGTTCCGGCCTCAGCAGTGGGCGGCGGCAGGTGGGGGAGGCAGTGGCACTAAAACAAAAACTGAGCAAGCAACAGATACCTTTTGCGCCTTTTCCGTGATGCCAGGAGATGTCAGGGCTGTAAGTGCTGTCCTCACACTCTGAATAGGTCTGGTATTGGGGGAGGGAGGAGGGGAAAGAGGGAGGGGGAGAGAGAGAGAGAGAGAGAGAGAGAGAGAGAGGTTAACATGTCGCTCTGGGGACAGCCCGGAAGCAGGGCCAGCTGGCGGGGTGGTGTGGAGGAGCTGCCCTGCCATGTTCGGGCTGTGATCAGCACCAACAGGAGACAAAATCTCAAGTTTGTATTTTTCAGCCAGCAACTCCAAGCTCTCCCGCCAGGTGAGGTGGAATCAGACTTCCAGAAACCTTTGAGTTCCTCACCAAGAAAGGACACCGCGTGTCATTTTGACTTCAATAAAATACGGCTTGGGAAGACGACCGTGGCAGGTGCTCTCTGCTTTGACTCCTCTTCGGCAGAGCTACTGGGGTAGCTCGGGTGGTCCAGAGGTGGGCACACTGGGCTGGCACCTGTGCAGAGGGATCTACCAAGTACCAAGTGACCAGACTGGGGCCTTCTGAAAAATAGCCTGGAGCGTGCTTCCGACTTAACGAACCAAAATCCACCGCACGTGATGGAGTGTAAAACCCCTGACCAAGGGAGGGGGCAGGGGCTGGCCCTGTGGTGCACCAAGGAAAACCAATGCCTTCAACACCAACATGCCGCATGCATGCCAGTTCATGTCCCTGCTGCTGCCCTCCTGATCCAGCTCCTTGCTAATGTGCTCGAGAAAGCAGCACGAGATGGGTCAAGCCACTGGGCGCCTGCATCCTAACAGGAGACAGGGAGAAGGTTCTAGGCTCGCAGCTTTGGCCTGGCCCACCGTGGCCCGAGGTCAGAGATGGAACACCTCTTTCTTTGTCTCAGTAACTCTTTCAAGTAAATAAATCTCAAAAAAACAAAACAAAGGCGGGCCCACGATGGCCCAGTGGCTAAAGTCCTTGCAAAGGCCAGGATCCCATATGGACATCGGTTCGTGTCCCAGCTGCTCCACTTCCATCCAGCTCCCTGTTTGTGGTCAGGGAAAGTAGTGGAGGATGGCCCAAAGCCTTGGGACCCTGCACCCATGTGGGAGACCTAAAAGACACTCCTGGCTCCTGGCTTCAGATCAGCTCAGCTCTGGCCACTGTAGCTGCTTGGGGAGTGAACCAACAGAAAGAAAATCTTTCCCTCTGTATATCCTTCTTTCTATAAATCTGCCTTTCTAACAAAAATAAATTTAAAAAAAGACACAAAGAAAAAGAGCTGACATTATAACACAGTGGGTAAAGCCAGCGTAATACTGGCATCCCATATGCCAGCTCACGTCCTAGCTGCGCCACTTCCCATCCTGCTCCCTGCTTATGTCCTGGGAAAAGCAGGAGACGACGCGGTGTCTGGCCCTGGCCCCTGGCTGCAGCCTGCCCTAGCCTTGGCTATACTGCCATTATGGGGAGTGAGCCAGCAGATGCAAGATCTCTCTGTAACTTACTCTGAAGGAAAGAAATATCATCTTCTAACAAAAAAAAAAAAAAATAGAAAAGGAGGGTAAAACTATATTGTCTGTTCCTCCCTTTGGCCTTTCACATTTAAACAAAAATTCCTTATAAAAGGTGTCAGGCGTCTGGTGCAGTGGCTGAGAGTCGGCAGGGACCCCTGCCGCCCCTGGTGGAGTGCCTGGGTCTGCTCCCTGGCGAGGTGCACCCTGGGAGACGGCAGCCCGCGACGCGAGCGCTCCAGTCCCTTCTACCCACGAGGGAGAGCATGTCGGGGCCTGGCCCAGCCCCAGCTGGTGCAGCCTTTAGGAAGCCAGTCGGCAGGAGACTTGGTTCTGCTGCTGGAATGAATGACCATAATTACAAAGCGGACACTGATAGGCCGCCGCGAGTGGGCATGAGCAGGGCCAACAGCAGATGGAGCAGGAACCCTGGCATGAGTGGAGGGGCCCTGTGGGATGGCCGGTGCCCACTCCCATGTGGGCACGCATCGGGCCGACCCTCTGAGACCCTCTGCCTGCTTCCGGCTTGCCTACCTTCTCCCGGTGGCCGTAGTGCTCTGCATACCAGACCATGCCGTAAAGACACAGGAAGGTGGTGAAGGCCTGCAAGGAAGAACCAAGCTCAAGGTCACTACGTCCAGAAAAGCCGTCTTCTGCAGCGTCGGCATTCTGGAGGGAGGGGTGGGGGGGAGGCATCTGAGCCAGCTCCACATGGTGCTCCAGCCGGGGACAAGAGGGCTGGGTGTGGAGGAGATGGGTCCTCCAGGGATGAATGGAGCCGGAATGGGGGCAGGAGCTCAGAGCTTCAGACAAGAAGGGTGGCCAGGCCGCAGGACCGAGGGCCCCTGCCTGAGTCTCCGTCATCAGAACACAGATCGCGCTGGGGTGGGGGCTCACGGCAAGCCGCCCTATCATAACGACCGTGTGGTTCCTGTGGTGATAACGGCTCATCCTCGTGCCCTGCCCACAGTCCTGCAGAGCGCTGTGTTGGGACCCAGGTCTGCCAACAGCATTTCCAAATGAAAACCAGGCTGCTTCAGTCTGAGCCCTGGGGTTGGGGTGTGCCTGCTGCTGTGGCCTGCCACAGCTCAGCGGGACGATACTACCAGTGTGCTGGGGGACCCGTCCTGATGCCAGTTCTTACTGCTCTGTTCTTCTGGTTCAAGTAAATAGGAGGAGAAAACACTCCTGGGGGAATGGGAAGGCATGGTGGATGAGTACTCTGGGCACCCCTGACCTCTAGCTTGCACTGCCGACCTGCACTACCAGTATGCCCAGACAACACCACCCTCAGGAAGGGGTTACCTCCCCATCAGTAATGCGCTTTTTACCCCTCACTCACTCAACCTCCCAGCTTACCGAGCACAGTAGTGTGCTGGGAGGCTCCCCTGGTGGCCTGTGCTGGCGGCTGCTCCCCAGCAGGGGCGACAGAACAACACTGGCACAGCACTGACCTGGGAAAGGATTTAAATTCAAGCTCCGGTCCTTTCAGACAGTTATGGCTAAGTGGCAAAAGCAGGGTTTGGATCTCTACTATGTTGAGAGCCATCTGCATAAGAATATGAAGTTTCAAAACATGTAAAAAAAAAAAAAAGACTGGGCCCAGAATCATGGCTCAATGGTTAAATCCCCACCTTGCATGCTCTGGGATCCCATATGGGCACCAGCTCGTACACACTCCACTTCCCGTCCAGCTCCCTGCTTGTGGTCTGGTAAACTAGTCGAGGATGGCCCAAAGCCTTGGGACCCTGCACCCATGTGGGAGACCTGGAGGAGGCTCCTGGCTCCTGGCTTCAGATTAGCTCAGCTCCAGTCGCTGCAGCTACTTGGGGATTGGACCAGCAGATGGAAGATGTTTCTGTATATCCTTCTCCCTGTAAATTTGCCTTTCCAATAAAATAAATAAATAAATAATGTGGGCTAAGGAGTTCATCAGCGCTTGTTAAGCTGAGCAGTAACAGGAAATGGGTTTGCAGCTAAACTGGACTAATCGGACTTAGCAGCATCCTACTGTTTGGTCTAAGGACCTGGGGGGAGAGTATAAAAACAGTATCAAAGAGAGACTTGTGAGAGACTTCTACCATCACTGGTCTCCTGTCAGTGTTTCATCCCCAGAACTCTCCCTGTCCATGTCACTGGCTCTGCTGGTTGGAGCAAAATAAATCTTGGGAAAAAAAAGTCTTGAGCTGCTTAGCCTAAGAACCCTGAGGCGAGGGAAGGGGCGTGAGAAAGCAGGGCAATGCCAGACATGATGCAGCAACAATGCAGACCACGTGTGCAGCAGTGACCAAAGCCACCTGCTCACGGGTCATCTCCACCAGGCCGCCCTGTCCTGGCTGTCCCTCTCTTTCCTGTGGCCATCTGTCATTGTCTGTCACCTCAGCCCAAATCACAGTGGGACCTAATCATTTTAGTTCTTTCCAAGAACCGGAACTTCAGACCCAGAAGAGTCACTTCAGAAATGGTTCATCGCGACCTGTCTTGTTGGACAGAGGAGGACTGAGGCAAACAGCTGTCTCCTGGTCACACAGCTGGCCAGCGTGTGGCGAGCTGGAGCCTGGATGCCAGCCTCAGGACGCCTAGTGACAGCTGCCAGAACTGCCTGATACCCCTGCATCTGTCTCTACCCCTCAGGTCTCCATGGTCGGAGAAAGGCATGATGGGAAAAGGCAATATGAGCTGCACCTGCTCTGCGCAGCCCACCACCCTGCAGGTGGAGCAAAGACAGAAAAGAGGGCTGTGAAATCTCATCACGTCAGCCTGCTGTGGCTCAGCCCAGCTCCTTCACACCAGGACACCCACTCAGGGGTCACTCACACGCGAGACTCAGATGGAGTTCCAGGCTTGGCTGTTGTGGTCATTTGGGGAGTGAAACTTCAGGTGCAAGATTCTCTCTCCCTCTCTCTCTCTTCCCACCCTCCCCCATCCTGCTTTCAAATAAAGATATCATCCACAGACAAGGATTCCGCAAAGCACAGATTCCCCACCAGATCTGTTGATAGTGAAGAACAAAGTTATAAAATGGAAATGGCTTTTGACCTTTAACATATTCTTTATATTTGCAGATTTTCTTACATAAAAAGTGCCACTTTCATGACATGGAAAGTGCGAAACAGCAGAAGGGATCTGCAGTGTGTGAGCCTGACACTTGTACTGGGTTCCTTACAAAGAGGAAAAGAGGCATCCCTGAATTTCACACTGCAGGCTTGGGAAGGTGAGGGTCTATGTCCCAAACCTGTGGCTGTGGGGCGGGATGGGCCAGGGGAGGCTGGTCACTGCCACTAGACTGTCATTGTGAATTCTGACCACCAGAGGGCAGGCACAGGGCTCTATCATGCCCAGCTTCAGCCTGGGAGGACGGTGGTGGAGCACTGGGAGCTCCTTCCTGCAGCTCACAACAGCAGGCGGAGCAGGCTTTGCAGGGCTAGGCAGATGCTGGCAGGTGGCTTATCATCACCATCCTCACACAAAGCACCTGCTGTGGCTGCCAAACGTCCCACTCCACCTGAGCATGGAAGCCCATTTCACGCTCATTCAGTGGGAGACAAAAGCTGATCATTTACAGGTTCACCATCACACCCGCGGGGGGCGGGGGCCTGCACACTTCTAATGCCAAGGCCCTGATGGAAAACAGAAATAGTACAAATCATAGAGAAGAATGGATATGGGACAAGAGCCAGGTGGTCCACGGCCACCATGGGGGTGGTGGCGAGGAGGGCAGAGACCTGGCTTGGCTTCCACCTTATGGTGAGGAGCATGCGTGGCTGTGTTACTCAGGACTCTTGGCTCCCATGTTAATCTCAAGTTCTGTGCTGATCTCTCACTTGGCAAGGGGGACCCTTGGGGGCCTGTGTTCCTCTGTGTGTGGGACGCATGCCCTGAAACAATGCTCACCTCATTTCTGAGTGTGACAGGAAGAGGAGGAGATGCCAGGACCTGTTTGCACCTAATCCTGCCCAGCCAGTGGCCTTTCTTCCGGACAGCCCCCCTCCACCTCCATGATCCCTGCTGCGAATCACGAGGATTCTTTGTGTCCACCCAATGGTGCTGTCCTTGGCCCCACCGCCCAGCCCAACATGACTAGCTCCGTGGAACCCTGCCTGAGGCATGCCTGGCCTCGTCCTGGGAACCTGATCTGCAGGTTGCACCGCGCCCACACGTGGACTCGCAGCTGTTGTCTCAGATCTCTACCGAGCAGCAAGATGGCCTGGAGCGCCCGATGGAGCAAGCTGCATTCACCCAGAAACCAGCCCAAAGTCCCTTCCTTCAGAGCCTTCCCTGCATGCCCCAAACACTCAGCTACTGGGGACCGTGGAGTCACCAGGTGGTGGTGTCCTGCTGAGCTGGCCAGTGCTCAGGTCCAGCCCTTTCTCCGCATCCTCCATGTTGGTGTCCCAGCTGAGCCCCCATTACTGGGGATCCACAATCTGCAAATCCCCTACTGCACCCCTCCCGCTACCTACATGCCAGATGCCTCCGGAGGAGACAAAGGGGCTGCAAATACACCCATAAAGCCCTTCCTGGGCTGGGGACCCTATCCCACTATCCCACCCCCTGCCCCTGCTCCTGTTCCAAGCTCTCTTCACTCTCGACCCTCCTACCTGCCCCCAAAGGCTGCACTCCTCAAGGCTTCATATCTGTACACACTGGTTGTCTCCTAAATGCAATCCTTTATTCTGTTTGTTGGCAAAGTGTTTCCTCATCACCAGACACTATACTTAAGACAGTGGGAAGCAAAAGGATGACTTCAACCCACTGAGGGTGAGCAAGAAGTGCCGTGCTGGGGAGACACACAGCAACCAACTCGATCCCCTGGAGTCACAACAGAGTCACGCAGACAAGAGGAAGGAGTTACCCGCCTGCCTTGGAGGCCAGGTGAGCTTTTGTGAAGCACGGGAGTGTACGTTTGGTGTTGGGCTGTAAATGTCTCTGGGAAGCAGTTTTGGATCAAGCAAAGGACATACCATGGGCAAAGGACACACCATGAGCAAAGGACACACCATGGGCAAAGGACACACCATGGGCATATGCAAGCGATGTCTGGAGGGATGACTTGTTTAGATAAGTCAGTGGCTTGGTCTAAGAGTAGAGTCTTGAGTGTCCCAGGAGATCAAGGCCCTAAACACCTAAGCAAGACTTCCCATTTCAGCTGGCTGGTTTTATGGTCGGGACCGAACCTTCCTTCTTGACGTTTCCCCTGCGGGTGGAGGGGGTCCTACCACTTGTCCCCTCCTCCCTGGGCAGTTGACGTACAGATAAGGAAGCTTGTGTTCTTCCAAGCTGTCTGTGCAGGAGCAGCACACATGTGCACATGCATGTTAGCTCACAGACACACACACACACACACATTAAGAAGGCCTTTTTCCTGGGGCCGGAGGATGGCTCAAGTCTGGAGTTCACTGGCAGGAAGCCCCTTGCCTGCACTTACAGCACATACTGAAAAAACCAATGTGCATCCTCTGGCATCCAGTTGCTACTCTGATTGCCATACCCTTCTTCCACCCTATTTATTTCTTATAATTAGATGGGGGTAAGGGAGGGGAGGGGAGGAAAGGTTTATTATTTGCTTGCCCAAGCCCCCAACCACAGGGGGTGACTCTAAGTGGGGGGAAAGTGCCTCGGGTATGGATTTTGGAGGTTACTTCAGCAGCAGGGTACCAAACAAATTTAGAGAGCCCCAACAGTAAACAAAGGAGGCCCTGGGACTGGGCCAGGCTCTGGGCAGCAGGGATGGAGAGGCAGGGACAGATCCAGCTCACCTTGCAGTGAGCAGACCCTCCAGAGTGGTGGGGGACAGGGAGTGACGGACCTTGTATTTAGTGGCTTCCACGACCTGCTCACACAGGCCCTATCCCAGCTTCCCGGCTTGCCTGCCGCTTCCTCTAGTGCCCTGAGCCTGATGCTCACAGGTCTGGTGCTGTCCCGAGTCTCCTTCCCACCTCATCAGGATAGTAATGAAGAGGGGAGAGCTCTCCAGCTGGATGAGCCTGGGCTGAGGCCTGTGGTCCATCGACCTCCATGTTGTTGGACAAGCAGCCTCTCTGTACCTTCCTTTCCTTCTCTATAAACATGGGATAAGAAAATTCCTGCCCCAAGAGCTTGAAGACCTAAACCACAACTTGTGAAACGACCTCGCTCAGGGTTGGGGATGTAGTGAGCCCTAATCCATCTAGTCCTCTCCGTCATTTGTCTGTGTCATTGCATTAAGCAGGTGCAGCCGTGAGGTGTGCTGGGCAGGTGTTTTGTGAACAGATGAATGGCAGAATGCATGAGGCAGCAGGGGCAGTCCAGGGGATGGTTCATGACCTCAGCAAGTTCATCATCCAGAAACTAAGGCAAAGCCCAACTCAGCCACACACAGAGGCACCTGTGTAAGAGTTGGCATCAGAAAACAGAAAAGTTTCTAACCCTTAGAGGGAGGGACACTGCAGGGGCCCCCAAGCTGGCTCACCAAAGAGGGCATCGAGGATCTACAGTCTGAGAACACCTTTCTGGCCACTGATGCCACAGGGGTAGCAGTAGGCTTATGGGGTGGGAAGAAGGGCCACCTGCCACATTCACGGTGCTCGGGTCACCTGACCCTCTTAGTAACATGTGGCTTCCTGGTGCCAGGGAAAGCCAGCACCCACCTGTGCCCCAGGTAGCCAGGCCAGACTATAACCCAACCTGAGGTGCATGTGCCAGGGGAAATTCAAGAAGAGCTGAGGCAAACTTCCCCTGAGAGTGGACGCCCTCCCCTGGCTGATGCCAGACGTGCACTGTCGGTGGCAGACTCGTACATGCCCTGCTGCATTGGTTCTGCATTAGCAGACAAGGGAGATGGCTCTTCCCTCTCGTTGTTCAAGATGAGACAGGACAGAACAGGCTCAAGGCATCCTGGGGCACTGCGAGGATTTCTGATAAGTCACCCTAAACATGATATACTGGGGAATGCAATCAAGACTTGGAAGCCATCAAATTTGATCTTGCCAGAAAAAAGCAAAAGACAGGAATCCGATTAAGCCTCTAGATCTAACTACTGATTTACAGAAAATAGTCAAAGACAAGGAAGTATGCTGAAGTACAGGACAGGAAGGACATGGGGGAATCTACACTGCGGGAGAGTGCACAGGACAGAAGAATGAACTGCTTTAACAAACACATCACAAAGATGGACCTGGAGCTGGACAGCAGGAAACTCTGGGGACTCAAAGGCAAGCCAACCAACCAACCACAAGGAGTGGATGCTGACTACATTGCTAAAAAATATGAAATCTAAGGGGAAAAAAGTCATTAGATAATTTAGATAATATTGAGGAATTATTGTTGAATCTTTTTTTTCAGATGCAGTAATTGCATTCAACCAAAAAAACCCACATTCTTATCTTAAGAAATACTTCCTGAAATAATGCAGAATGAGGCAGCAGCTGGGGCACAAAAACAAACAAGACTGCCTGAGTCTGCAATGCTACGACTGGATGAGGGGCACTTGAGGGGTCTTCTATTCTAGCAGCACATATGCTGGACATTTTCTGTGGCTGCAGCATAGTGAGTAAAGCCACTGCCTGTGCTGCAGATAGGCCCTGGGTAGTGAGCTCCAGTTCCAGCTGCTCTACTTCTGATCCGGCTCCTTGCTGACGCACCTGAGAAAGCAGAAGTTCACCCAGGTACTTGGGCCCCTGCGCTATGTGGGAGACCCAGAAGAAGCAACTGGCTTTAGGCTTCAGATTAGTCCAGCTAAAGCTATTGTGGCCATCCGGGGAGTGAATCTAAGATCTCTCTTTCTCTCTCTCTCCCTCTCTCTTTTTCTCTCACTCCTGGTTCCCCACCCTGTAACTGTTTCTTTCAAATAAGCAACTAAATCTTAAAACACTCGCACACAAACACACACACACACAAAGAAATTTTTAAAAGGCCCAAATTAATTTTCTGGACCAAATGAAGAATCTTAAACATAAATGTAAAACTGGGACTTTTTTTTCCCAAGGCAACAGCTTCAAATGATTAAGCTAAGAAGGACAGCCAGGGTGTTTAAGCTGTGTCAGATGTGACTTCATTAACAACTGAGGGAGAAGTCCTGAGATATCTTAGAGGGAGGCCCCGGACAATTTCCCCTCTTCTTACCTTCCTGCAGAGGAAAGCACATCCCAGCCAGGTGGGGGCTGGCAAGTTGGCCTCTGCGGCAGAATTCTCTTCTAAAACATCCTCTATTGCCGATAAGTCACAATCTATCCTTTTGTGCATAAGCCCACACACAGCGCTGTGTGTGTGTATGTAAATGCATAAAGCAGAATAATGAAATATAGGGGTTGGCTCTGTAACTGTCCTTGCCCCTCCCCCCATGGCAGTCCTTGAATGCTCAGCACACGTAGACAAAGTCACATAAGTGACATCAGCGACATGTGGTGCACCTGCTGAAGGCGTCTGCCAGGAACCTGCCAAGATGACCCAAGTCAGATGCCATGTGGTCCTCTGTGCTTTGTTCTTGAGCCTGAGCCTGAGAGCCAGTCTCAGGTTTTTACAATTAGATCATCTCTGTGGATTTCTAAGTAACTTTGGTGTACAGAGCGCACGTGTGTGTGTGTGTTTTAAACAGACACTATGGGAATTTGGTCAGCATCTCTGGGTTAAAAAAAAAAGAAAGGAAGGAAAGAAACACTTACCACACAAAGAAGCCAAAGTACAACGTAGAGTATTTGGGTCTTCGAGAAGAGATCTTGTCCAAATTTTATGCAAACGATGGCTTCCAGGAAACCAATGACCCTGTTAGACCAAGAGCAACAGGTCACATACTCATCTTACCTGAGCATCTTGTCCCAGGATTTCTGTCCCTAACCCCAGTGGGAGGTATCCACCAGCATGGCACTGTCCTAACTCGCTGGAGTTTCTTCTGAAACAACAGGACAGTTTTCACGTCTGACTTCCTCTCAGGGCTGATCTCCACTGACAATGTCAACAGCCAGTGGGAGCAGAGCTCACCTAACACGGAGCCCTCACTTCCACCTGCGTTGCGCACACCAGCACAGACAACTTGGCAGGGCAGCTTCCTCCCCTGGGCAAACCCTGGCTATCCTGGGCTGGCATGGCAGCACAGTGGGTTCAGTTGATGCTTGGGACATGCGAGTGCATGTTCAAGTCCTGGCTGTTCCCTGGTAATGTACCTGGGTAAGTAGCAGACCACGCTTAGTCCAGGTACCTGGAACCCTGACACCCACATTAGACACCCTGATGGAGTTCCAGTCTCCTGGCCTGAGCCTGGCCCCTGCCCCTGCTGTTGAAGCCATCGAAGAAATGAACTAGTAAGTGGAAGATGGATCCCTCTGTTTCTCCCTCCCCTTTCTGCTGTCACTGCCTTTCATAAATAAACAAAGCTTCTAAAAAAAAAATACTCAAAGGTAGTAATTACATTTCCTCTCAGTCTTGCAAAAATTTCTAGATTAAATATTCCATTTTTGCTGACAACATAAATCCTTTATTCTTTCTTGATCTGCAAGCACTTTTTGCTAAACACATAACAAAACATTAAAATTCAAGCACTCACTCTTTTTCTTGTTTTTGCCCCTTCAATTAAAACTTTAAAAGAAACATCTACTCTTCAGTCCCATGGCTTCACTAATGATTACAAAAGATGAGGCCTCCATTCAGGTTCAGCTCTGGAAGGCAGACATGGACAGATAACGGCTGTGAGGTCCCAAAGATGCGGTGGAAATACAAACTTCAGACAGCGCCGCCCTCAGGGGCCTTGCTGCGGGATCTGAACACACCAGGAATGGCAGATTCTCACAGGCATTCCTGGCCAAAGCTGCAGGCCCCCCAAACACCCCCACTCAAACACAAGGTTATCACCAGCATCTAAGGGCGTGGGGAGGCCTCTGAAAAACCGAATACCTGCAGTTAGATTTACCTCTGCCGAGCGTGAAAATCAATAGCCTCCTGCAGGCCTCTACACAGGGTTTGGGACCGTCTCCCCTCGAAGCACCTGCTAAATCAGGTCCCGGTGGGCTTGGCTAGACTCTTCACAGACCACTGCCCCTGCCCCCTGACCAAGCACGGAACGTGGGAGAAAAAGTGTTCTGGTAGACGAGGAGCCCCAAGGCTTGAGGCTTTCTGCACTCTAATCTGGAGGTCAGGCCTGCAGCCCAGCATGAGGTGGCAGGTGAACTCTCACTGCGTTCCACTTGCACCTACAAAGTGTGACTTCACCTGTGGCTGGGATTTGCCAAGGAAATACTGCCAGGGAGTGCTGGGGCCGGGACAGAGGGGTGACCACTGACCCCAAGACCACACAGACCTCCTGAATTTGTTAGGAAAAAACTCTGGATATTCAAGTGGATCTGAGCCCCCTTTGAAAAGCATTGTGATCAACAGACTAGAGCTGGGCTGGTCACGTGTTCTATTACAACTCAGTACACAGAAAGAGAGAGAGAGAGAGAGAGAGAGAGAGAGAGAGAGAGAAAGAAGGAAGTGTCCCAGAAGCATGTGTATAAGAGAGAGAGAGAGAAGCAAGTGTCCCAGAAGCATGTGTACGAGAGAGAGAGAGAAAAAGAGAAAGAGAAAGAGAGAGAGAGAGAGAGAGAAGCAAATGTCCCTGAAGCATGCGTAGCGTTTGTTAAATAAACATCACAGGAGGTCACATCCTGGGACAAAAGCTCCTGTACTATGTCCCCAAGGGGCCTGGGCTGAAAAGCAATGGAATCACTCATGCCAACATTCAACATCACCAATCAGAAACTAGGTCATTTCTTTGACATAAAAAAAAAAAAATCATGATTAGAGAGTTAACAGCCTGTTTGCAATACAAGCAGGCCAGTTTCAATTGGCATGATCACCAAGTTCCCTCTCCTTAATCCTTACCCTCAAAAAGATAACCTGAAGTAACCTGGTGTTCAACCAGCCAGTGACACCTCCACTGCTCCATCCCCCATTACTTTACAATCCGCCTTTTGTCTGTTCCTGCATCCATCAGCCCTTCCGTATCTGGAAAACCTACTCTGCTCAACTCACTGAAACGCTTACTTTGTGGAATGAAGTGTTGCTGGGATCTGTGGTTAAAAGTGATGTCTATGGGGGCTGGCATTCATATAGGTATTATCTTGTGTCTGGCTATTTCACTTCTAATCCAGCTCCCTGGTGATGGTCTGGAAAGACAGCAGGGGATGCCCCAAGTGCCTGGGCTCCTGCATTCATTTGGGAAACCTGGCAGAAACTTCTGGATCCTGTGTTTGGCCTTGCTCAACTCTGGCCATTGTGGTCATTTGGGGAATGAATCAGTAGACAGAAGTTCTCTCTCTCTCCTGCTCCCTAATTCTGCCTTTCAAATAAATTAAATCTTGAATAAACAAACAAAACTGAAGCTGATAAACTTTAAATTGTAATTCTGTCCTTTGACCCTTACTCTGCTGTTTCTGCTCTCTCTTATTTTCACCAAGTGCTGGTCAGGGTCCACTCTACTGACCTCACAGCACGCTGAGGTTTATTCTAAGGACCAATGTTTTTGATTCAGAAACTTCAGGACAGAGTTGACTCCCATGTAAGGACATTTCTTCCTGGGAAGGTGATAGCCAAGCAAGAAGAGGAACAGGATAAGATGGCCGTTTAGCCCAGTGCTTAAGAAGCTAGTTGACATGTCCACATTCCATAGCAGAGTGCCAGGGGTCGTGAGGGCTGGCTCCATTCTTGATTCCAGCTTCCTACTCACATGACCCTAAGTGGCAGCAAATGATGGCTCAAATCCTTTGGTCTCTGCTGCCTGCATGAGACCTGAAGTGAGTTCTCCTGGCTGTGGCTTGGCCCAGCCCCAGGCACTGCAGACATTTGGGGAAATGAACCCATTGAATGGGAGTCCTCACTACTTGTCTAGATCTCAAATAAATAAAATATATAGTACATTTTTACAAAAAAAAAAAAAATAAAGAAGGGAGGAGAGGGCCGCTGTGAGATTATTGGCAAAGAGGGTCCCAGGCTGAAGTCTGGGTATTGGGAAGGCTCTGAAAGGGCTGGGAGTAAAGGAATGAGATGAGATGAAGTCAGAGCAACACAGAGTAATTTGAGGACCACTCTAGAACTTGGCTTTTAGTCTGAGGGAATCTTACAGAGTTTGGAGCAGGGTGTTGGACACAATTGGGTTTATATTCTGATGTCCATCTTTCCAGCACTGCCACCACTGTTGGGAGACAGCAAGAGCAGAGGGAAGCCTGCCGGCTACTGCTGTAATCTGGGTGTCCACCCTCCTGCAGAGCGGCTGTGGGGATGACAAGAAGCAGTGGGAAGTGGAGGCAAGAAGCCCGCCATCACATGGACTCCTTTAGCCTCTGGCCACTGCTTCCACTCTTATCCTGGCCCACCCCAGGGGGACCCTAACTAACAAGCAGCACCATTTAGAAGGCTGGCCTGACTTTTTTAGAGATTAAACTGTGCCTGTTTAGGCTCCACCTCACCAACCTCCTTCTACTTCCTCATTCCCTTTATTCAGTTCAAGTTCAAATCTGTCTGACCTTTCCCAGGCTGGTGAGGTACCCAAACTGTTCTTTGCTGGAATTCAGCCAGCACCAAGACTCCCTGTGAGGTCTGCAGCCATCCTTGTTTCAACGTTGCAGGTTAAGGGGCATACACACACTGGGGCTGGCGAGGTGCTGGCGTCGGCACTGGAAGCTCCAGATCCGCTCACTCACACAGGCTTGGCTTCTCCTCTCTCTGGGGCCAACTCCACAGGATAGGAAAAAAGTATGATACCCTGCACAGCCAGGGCTGCGGGGTTCCTCGGTGAATGAACAAGACTATAAGCAGGTCACTTACAGAAAGTGCGTGGAGCACACAAGGACTCCAGGTCCGCGTGTGCAAGCGGGGTGCATGAGCCAAGCTTGAGAAGCAGAGACAGAGCCTTGCTCTTGAGTGCTAACAACTGTACCGGGGGTGCAGGGTGGGAGGCCTGAGAACTCATTCCCAGGGTGGCCCGGAGCCAGGGGGGCCATTCTCCCACCAGCTCAGAGCTGGCTCCTCAAGTGGGAAGGAGACATGGATCCATCAACTGCAACAATTACTCAGTCACCTGGGAGGCCAGGATGTTCCCCAAGTTAGAGTGAGGCTCTCTTTCCAGCTATGGGGAGTAAAGGGACCTTGTTAGCAGTAGAGAGGCTGATTGGGTCTTGACAAACCAATACCAAGCCCCAGGATGTTCCCTGCCTATCAGAGAGACCGAGGAAGGGCTGGGAAAGTGGAAATGGGCATGAGGGGCACTGATAATTCCACAGTGCCTCCAGTGGAAACATTCTCCTGTGACGCCACAGGCAATAAATTACATATCATGAAAGCTTCTTCTATGTACAAATTTAGTAAATAGTGTATATAACATCCACTGTTTATATCAGGTGCGGACAAAATATAGATGTTTAAGGACCCAGCACGGTGGCCTAGCGGCTAAAGTCCTAGCCTTGAACATGCCAGGATCCCATATGGATGCCAGTTCTAATCCCAGAAGCTCCACTTCCCGTCCAGCTCCCTGCTTGTGGCCTGGGAAAGTAGTCGAGGACGGGACCCTGTACCCACATGGGAGACCTGGAAGAAGATCCTGGCTCCTGGCTTTGGATAGGCGCAGCACCGGCCATTGTGGTTGCTTGGGGAGTAAATCACTGGACAGAAGATCTTCCTCTCTGTCTCTCCTCTTCTCTGTATATCTGACTTTGCAATAAAACTAAATAAATCTTTAGATAGATAGATAGATAGATAGATATTTAAGACTTGGGTCCCATACTCATTACCTATAGGCAAATATCCCAACACCCACTTAAAAAATCCCATATCATGGGCTCAGCGCAGTGGCTCAATGGTGGCTAAAGTCCTCACCTTGCAAGCGCCAGGCATCCCACATGGGTGCTGGTTCATTTCCTGGCTGTTCTACTTCCTTTCCAGCTTTCTGCTTGTGGCATGAAAAAGCAGTCAAGGACAACCCAAAGCCTTAGGACCCTGCACCTGCATGGGAGACCCAGAAGAAGCTCCTCGATCCTGGTTTCGGATCAGCTCAGCTCCAGCATTGCGGCCACTTGGGGAGTGAATCAGCAGATGGAAGATCTTTCTTTCTATCTTTCCTTCTCTCTACAAATCTGACTTTCCAATAGAAATAATAAATCTTTTTTAAAAAATGCTACATCATATCCTCTTCAGAAACTCTTGTGGATCCAAGGTAAGGGACTCTCATTCTGCCTGTCAGGGTCATCTGGGGAAACGGCTCACAATGAAGGTTGTGGAGGTACTACCAGGGTGTTTGTGATGCTGGTAGAGGTGCTAGTGAGGACGGACAGATGGACACAAACGAGGCAGGGGGAAGGGGCTCTGCTGTGTGCAATACGGCTGGGGATATGAAACAACTAACAGCCCAGCTCTGCGGTTCAAGGGCAGGAGACAGGAAAGTAAGGCAGTATTGAACTACATCAGTAAGCACTTCATACAAACCCTGAGGAGCAAAGTGCATGCCTGACCCCCTCCCCAGGACAGAAAGATGAGAAAAGGTGCAAGGGAAATCGAGTGTGACCTTTGCTTTGTCCTCTCCCACCTTGGGAGAGCCCACCCAAGAGCCCACCTTGGCTACACAGCAGGTACTTCTGTTCCCTCTCCTATATCCACACCATGCTGGGCTTACTCTTGATCAAGTGGGATGCAAGCTGCGCAGTGGCTGCTGAGCTATCAGTGCTAGACAGCTGGGCAATATCTGCTAGTTATCAAAGGACATAGGCAACCAGGGTCACAGGGCAACTGGGTGGGGAGGGGGAATGAGAACTGACCTGGCTGGGGGTGGTGCAGGAGTGGTGGGAGGCAGAAAGCACTCAGAGAAAAGCAGAGTGTAGACAGGCAGTATAGACACATGCGCTACGCAGGGGGCACAGGCTTTCACTCACTCACATTGGGGCTGGGCACACCAGTGTGACTGACCAACAGGGATTAGTTAGTACTTTTTTGTTTTTGCAGCGCAGCCGGCTGGTTCACATGAGTCATTCATCTCAGCGAGGCTGTTTTGGGAGTTTCCAGTTATCAACAGAGCACACTAAGGAACTGAAGTCACCTTGTCTTCCCATTTCCACTTTCCATCCCTGCCCACAAAGCAGGATTTTGAGGCAAGGAGATTTCTGCCACTTTGTGGCTGCCTCTTCACTCAGGTCAACAGCACCTTCTTTCCTAACCCCCTTAGGCCATGGGTGAGAGCTACTCCAGGGGCATAGAAACTTGGTGGAGGGTGGGGGGAGGGGGGTGGGGTGGGGGGAGGGGGGTGGGGTGGGTAGCCTTTGACCAATGATGAAAAAGCTGCATGAGGAAGGGGGTGATATAAGAGAGAAAGGAGAATCCAAAGACAGGACATGCTACTTCCTTCCTGGCAGAGGAAGGTCAGCCAGTACAAGAGGTGGCATGGCTTCCTGGCTGAGCCCATCCAAAACCTGGTGGATGTGTGACTTGCCCCTCCTGGGCATCAATGAACATACGAAACCTAAGCTGCCCCATCGTCCCTTTGGCTGCAGTCCCCATGGGGAGGGAGATCAGTTTATGCTTCTGAATTGAGGGGGAACAAAGGACAGTGGTCCTTGTCTTCTGGGATGCCAAGACACCTGCTAAATCACATCTGAGGGTCTGCACTTAAATCCTCTGAAACTATCAGCAACCTGCTGGAGTCTGGAACGGGAGCTGAAACACATGGACATGTGCATTCAACTCCCACACGCAGGAAACACTGGGAAGGGATGACGTCAGAACAAGTTCCCAGATTTTAAAAAGGCTTCATATCATCACAGATTCCCTTATGACAGGTCTTGAAAAGCAAGGCACTCAGTCTTGGGGCTGTGACCTAGTAGCTAAAGTCCTCGCCTTGCAAGCACTGGAATCCCATATGAACACCGGTTTGTGTCCCGGCTCCTCCGCTTCCCATCCGGCTCCCTGCTTGTGGCCTGGTGGAGTGGTCGAGGACGGCCCAGTGCCCTGGGATCCTGCACCTGCGTGGGAGAACCGGGGGCAGCTCCTGACTCCTGGCTTCAGATTGGCTCATCTCTGGCTGTTGCAGCCACTTGGTGAGTGAACCAGTGGATGGAAGATCTTTCTTTATGTCTCCCATTCTCTCTGTAAATCTGACTTTCCAACAAGAATAAATATATCTTTAAAAAAAAACTACTCTACAAATAAAACCAATTTCCGTAAAGATCAGTGGGAAAAAAAAAAAAAAAACAAGTTCCCTGAATGGCTGACTTTTTTGGAGGACCTATCTCAATGAAATTCTTTGGTGAATTTTTAATCCATGGGCGTGTAGTACTTTTTAATGGAGAAAGTTATTCTCTTTTAAAAACTGAAAGTAATTATTTCTTTTCTACTGTGCCTTTTCCGTGCATTTTCTTTGTACAGGCAAAATCAATTCAGAATTTGGATCAAGTCTCATAACTGAACTTGTACATATATGGTGGCATGCCTAGGACTTCAGCTTCTTAATGATAAACTACAGATCAATGTTTCCGCAGAAAAGCCACTCACCTGAGAAACTGAAGAGGGTCTCACATTTCACATTTAAGGGGAGGGAGCCTTAAACTAGAACATCTATGGTCCCTTTCAAATCAAAGTTACACAATAGTAAATGAAGATGGAGCATTTAGATCTGGAACAAGACAGTAAGCTGTGACTATATGACCATGTGTTACTTTTCTTAGAAATTATAAAATCAAGCCAGTACAGAGCAAGACGTTATTTCAAAGGTCATTTTGGTATAAAAGTAGCAAGAATTCTGGGCAATCGTGCAAGAGGCTCTCATCTTAAACTCAAGGGGAAGTACACAGGAAATATGGTCTATCCATTTTCTGCCTAATTTATTTTACACAAAAAGGTCTCTGAGTTCTATGTGGGAAATGGCTTCTGATTTCCTATTCCTTTTTAAGATCTGTTTATTCTTATTGAAAGACAAAATTATAGAGATTTTCAATCCACTGGTTCACTCCTCAAATAGAAACAATGGCCGAAGCTGGGCTGGTCCAAAGCCAGGAGTCTGGAGTTTCCATTGGATCATCCATGAGGATGCAGGGGCCCAAGAACCCGGACCATCTTCTTCTGCTTTCCTAGGCCATTAGCAGGGAGCTAGATCAGAAGTGGAGGATGCAGGACTCAAACCAGTGCTCATTTCGGGTGCTGCAACTGCAGATGGAGGCCTAACCTATGCGACAGTGCCTCGACAGTGCCTCTTCCTATGACATCCCAAAACTTTTCTTGTTAAATAGTTTCTACGCCTTCTTTTGATCACTTGTTAAATAACGACTCTTAGAAAAAGGAATGTTGAAAACATGTTGGGTTCATTATCTGGCAGGATGGTTACTATGCGACTTGGAATGCCTGCATCTCATGTTGAAGGGCATGGCTTTGAGTTCCAACTTGGCTTCCCCTCCAGCCTCCTGCTAATGTGCCCACTGGAAGGTGGCAGACGACAGCTCAAGTCCTTGGTTCTCTCCACCTACAGGAGAGACCTGGAATGACTTCCAGGTTCTTGGGATCAGCCTGGCCCTGCCCTAGCTGCTGGGGGGAGCATCTGGAAAGTGCATCAGCAGATAGATGGCAGATCTCTCCCTCTCTCTCTGCATTTCAAACCCATAATTTAAAAATAGTAACAGTAAAAGGCTAAAAATATAAACAGTAAATTTATCCACTTACCTTTATAGAATTACATTGAAAGGTCCTTAACACATAGCCAAGAAATACTCAAAGAAATTCAGAGGTGTAATCGGCTCTGAACTTTCCCCAGTAACAGATACTCACCCAAACACCCAGCACTGTGTTCCCACACGTTTGCACTGCGTGTCCGTGAGGTAAGCGTAGTACTGCCTGAAAGAACAAAGCGGGAGCTCACTGAGAGATTCTGCTAGGCCCGCAAGGCAAGGCAGAATTGAATCACTTTGACAGAATAAGCAGAAAAAATGTACTCTCTTGGTCCCTAGACACGAGCTACCTGGGCCAGTCATATTCAAGGGAATTCCAAGACAGCACCTGTAGAAGCATTCCAGGAAGAGATTCAGCACAGGCTTTAAGTTGGAGGGAGGGCAGTGCACCAGACAGTCGGCACGGGCCTTCCTGATTGAACCACAGACTCCCGCAGCCCCCACCCCAAGCCAGGACAGCCCAGGCGCAGGTTCCAAGGAGAGGATGGCAGAGGTGGCTCATGAATGGTCCGCCCTGGCACTCCCATGACAGAGAGGTTGTTGTTTGTTTTTGACTTTCAGAAGCTGGAATGGGATCTCAGCTGCACCTCAGGGTCACTGACGGCCAATGACTTTGGATACAACAAAGTTGGAAATAGGGAGGCGATGGCATGGAATGCAGACAGAGGGCAGGACTGTTGCATGCAATCAAACTTGAGCCACAGATACCACTTCCATCTTTCCAGTAGTCACAGCAAAAAGTACAGAGAATGTTTATGAAATTCTTTTTAATGATGCCTTAATTACTCGAACCAAGATCCAGATCAGTGCAGGAAGATACCGTCATGAGGCATGGTGTGTGGAATCTGGACTGACTCTCTGGGGCGTGTGTGGTTTCCACATTGAGCACATGTCGCTGTGAAGAGGCCACATCTGCAGTGCTCCACAGTCACATGTGGTGAGGACAGTGTGGTTTAGAGCCTCGTGAGCACCCCCAAAGCTCCATCCAGCTCTTGAGTCCCAGACTCCTCAGAGGACTTGATAAAGCTACGGTGAAGGTGCAGACACACACACACATGAATGATGCTGTGCTAAGGCTCCTCAATGACCAGCACCTCCTCACCCCAGGACCCCAGGCAAGAACTCTAGCTCAAAACAACACATGGTTACTTCACATCCACGCCTTTTCCCTACACTTTACAATTATCAGAAGTAAGAGATGTTTACCCAACAATCTTTTGAAAGCAGCAAGTTCAGAAGAAAGTCTCATAAAAAAAAAAGGAAACAAACAAACAAACAAATGGAGACAGGGCGCACGTAAGGCACTCTCTAAGCCCATAAGCTCTTCTCATGAGGGGCTGGTCTTCACTCACAGGGTTGGCTGCGTCAAATCCACAGGACCAGGTCCACCTTGCAACAGAACCTGCCAGCACAGCTTCTCACAAGAGATTATGTCAAGTGGTGCAGGATCCCCACGGATGGCTCATTTCCAAAGGGAGACCAGGTGTGCAGAAATTTGCAGGGTCTGGCAAAAACTCCAAGCCACCCTCAAAAGTTTCACAATGTTGGATTTCTTTGGTCTCTAGCTTTTGTTGAACAAAATAAATGAAAATTTCAAGATATTCCCACCTGATTTGCTAGTTTTATACAAACACATTTCTTTCCCCTCTTATTTTGCTGTTCATTTCTAGTTTTACAAAAGAGCTGCTGTTAATCTTTCTTGAACAGAACCGTGAAGGTTCAAATTAAGGTACCCCTTAAATGAGGGTGGGGCCCACAAAACCATCAAGGGAAACAATGGCATTTAGGAGAGAATGGTTTTAACAAGCCAGTGGCCTTTGCAGTTTCAAAGGGTTGCTGCCTCCCCAGCTGCACCTTACCTATTGGGTTCCTAGAAAAAAAAAAAAAAGAAGATACAATTTTTAATTCCATGGGATTCACAGGTGTCATGCTTGATTTGTTCAACTCAGGGTCTAGGAAAACATGTACATGCATGTATGTATAACTTTAATGTGTGTGACACTGAATGTGTACAACAGAAGGAGCTGGCTGGGCCTGTCTCACCACGGTGCGGATCTACCCTCCTTGGCCACAGAAGTCCTCTGCTTGTCTGCTTCGTGAGCACATGGCAAGTGGTGACCCGAGTGTTCCTGCAGTTTTGGTAAACCTGACTCTCTTAACTGTTCTGTTGACACGTGGTGTATCTTTGGCAGCTCTGATCAATGCTGCCACTCTGCATTCGTGGAGAAACCCAAGTGCCATCACTAAATGAGGAGAATGAAATAAATGAGAAGAGTTTGCCTTGAACTTTGTCGGCTCAGTCTCCCTGAGGGGTTGTCTCTATAAACAACACTTCACAGGATCCCAGGAGAGACAGGGCCTGAACTCCCAGGCCCATCTCAGTTCCCCTGCAGGACCACACCACAGGAAGGACACTTTCAAGAGGAAATCAGCCTGTCTGGGTCTGGAAAAATACTACAATGCCACTTACAAAAATAATATTATTATGAATTGAACTCTACCATAAGTTTTTATACGTTCCAATGATCTCACACACACACACACAAAACAACCCTCGGAGTGTTTGGCTACTTGTTTTTAACAGGATGTGAGTAGTGAGAGAAATGATCAGGGGTGAAAAACTAATAAGGGGGTCAGGAAAAACAGCACATTTACTGTGGTGTGGGTTACTCGTTTTCTCTCTTAAAGCCCCAATAACATCACTGAGGTCTGACAGTAAGACACCTTCATATTGGAGATGTTCAGGACGCACAATTCTTTAGGATGGTGTTTTCATGGACAATCTGCCAGTGAGTGTGGTCTCCCTTCTGTCTAGCCGGTTAATGTGCTCAGATGACAGTCAAGCGTGTCTACTTACCTCACTGTGGGAGCTGTGATGCAGCCAATAAAGAGAATCCTACACCAGCTTAATGGATGGCTGGCTTGGAACACAAAGATGTGTTTCAGGAAGAAGGTATTCAGCTCGGTCAGCTGGAAAACAAGGAGAAATGAGTCAACCTAGGACCTCATGCTAAGCCATAATCATACTCCTTAAATAGACATTCCACAACTAAATGTAATTGGTATGTGCCAAACATCGTTAGAAAATATATGGTGTTCTCCAAAACTTGCTAATCTAATGAGTAACAGCTAGTGCAACATGAGCATGAATTAATAGGTGGTACAGGGGGTGACAAGAGGGGTCGCTGAGGACTCTATGTACCAATTCTTGTCATGTTGACTGGTCTACATGACATTAATTTGACTTGTGTGGGATCGGTGGGACAGCTAGAGGAGCCAAAAATCATAGAACACCCTCACAACCCTAGAAAAACAAGGCCAGGTCTAAAGAAATCTAACTGTGGATCATGGAAACTCAACTACCCTCAACGAAGCTGAGGATACATCTCAGGGAAATGGCTGTGCATGCTTGTAGCACATACCCGGGAGAGGGCAGACGCTCAAACAAAGGCAGCTCAAAAAGTGAGGGTGAAGGCTTGGCCCACACTTCACCTAGGGGCGATGGCAGTGCTCTCTGAGGCTGGCGTGTCACAGAGTCCTTGGCAACCACAAGAGATTCTGGCTGCCCTCTGCCCAGGGCCCGGCTTCGGGTCTCAAACAAGGGATACAGACCATGAAACACTCACTGTGCTTGAGGCTTGAAAACACATCGAATGCACTGATAGGTCCGCTTCAATGATGCAAAATGTATATCATTTAAGCACAGTGTTGGCCTCAGGGATTTAAAAAAAACTGACCAGTCCATGTACTAACACCAGACAGGAATAGCTGATCTTGGTCCAGGGCTCAGAGCCACAGGAAAGGCGTGCTCCACGCAAGGCCAACAGGTTCCTTTATAGAAACACAATGACGTCTCTCCCTGATAAAGTCAATCATCCACCCACCTAATAAAAGAACGCTTAAACCTTCCTTGACATTTGCCCTGATAAAGCAAAGCTTAATCCCAATCCGTTTACAGCCTCATTCTTATAAACACATTGTCCTTTGCTATATATGGGGAACTGGTTCCAGGGTACCACACAAATATCAAAAGTCACAAATGCTTAGGTCCCTCCTGTAAAATGGTGCAGTATTTGCACACAACCTGTGTCTTCCTTGCTATATATTACAAATCATGTCTGCATTATTTATTGTACTGAATACAAATGTGTAGTGTTTAGGGAACACTGACTAGCAAAAACTCCCATAGATTTCATGTATAGGTGCAACTTTAAAAATATATATTTGGGCCCGGCATGATAGCCTAGAGGCTAAAGTTCTCTCCTTACATGCACCAGGATCCCATATGGGTGTCAGTTCTAACCCTGGCTGCTCCACTTCCCTTCCAGTTCCCTGCTTGTGGCCTGCAAAAACAGTAGAGGATGGCCCAAAGCCTTGGGACCCTGCATTCACTTGGAAGACCCAGAAGCTCCTGGCTCTTGCCTTGGGATTGGCTCATTCTGGTCATTGCAGCTACTTGGGGAATGAACCAGCTGATGAAGAGCTTTCTCTTTGTCTCTTCTCTCTATAAATCTGAATTTCCAATAAAAAATAAATCTTAAAATATTTATTTACTTATTTATTTATTGATACTTTCAATATGTTGTTGGCTCAATCCATGGGGTGGAATTAGCAGATACAGAGGGCTGATTGTGGTGACTTCTGCAGACCATAGGGGTTAGGAAACAATTTACCTATACTTCTGAATTAAAGTGGGTATTATTACTCTCCATGTACTGTCAGGGAAGACTGCTTGTCATCAAGGCAACATCTGCTGATCTTTTCCTTATGTTGGGAGTATTTTGACACCCCGTGTGTCTAGAATATAACTTTTGATGATTCTGAAAGGCCCTTGAAACCAAAACTGATTTCCTTGGCAAGACTGCCAGAATTGGGAAACCAGCAGGGAACAGGAGAACAAAAGAAAGGCTGGGTCGAGAAGATGGAGTGGCGTGAGGGGACAGTCCTTTAGCTGTCTCCATTACATCCACCATGGGCTGATGTACCAGTGAACTGTGACCACTGTCCAGTGAGGACAATGCCTGCTGAGACACACAGCTCAAAACAGCTCCAGTTCCAGCGGCAGCAGAAAGCTGGCTCATTGCTTGAGGAACTGCCCAGAGTGGCAACATCTGAGGCACACCTGTCACCAACACACACTTAGGTACTGTTGCCCTAAAGAGCAATGGAAAGCTTTAATCACACCATGGGGGATGCTAACTATGACGGTTTTCAGGGAATTGAAGCTGTTTCTAATTTGTAATGCCAAAATCCATAACTGAACATGTCTTCATTGATAGAGCAAGACCTTAGGCAAAATAGCATCACTTGCCTGAACAGTTTCATGGACCCATGGCTTAAGATCATATCCAGCCAAGTGTCTAGTTGGTAAGCAATAGGAACTAACACTAATTCTAAATCCCTGGAAGGCTCTTATTTTTTAGCTTTGTTTATTTCTCACTCCAGCTCTGGGCCTCTGAAAAGAATACCTGCCAGATGATCATGAACAGGTAGATTCCGGCCACTCTCTGGAAGGAAGACTTGGGGTCAAACCATCTCACGTAGGTCCAGCTGGCAGGCGTGAACTGGAGCACGGCTCGTTTGATCTTGCCAGTGGTGGTGTGAATGTCCCTGGAAGGAGAGAATGGCTCCATGAAAATTCCAAAGAGATGAGAAGGGGGCTGTAAGACCAGGGGAAAACGGGGGCATTGCTGTCTGTGTAATGAAATGTTCGGAACAGGAGTATTGCTTTGTATTGGAATCATCTCAAGCCGAGGTGCCTCTGTTCACACAGGTGAGGGTGTGGAGACACAGACTTAACAGGGCTTCTGAACAGGTGCGGCGTTGTCCCACTGCAGGGCTGGGAGAGCTCTCAGCCTGTGATCTGGTGACGGAAGCTCAGAGATGTCTTTGGCTGCAGCTTGAAATCAGCCCAGCAGAATGTGACCGCCATCCCCACCTACCCCTCTGCTAGCCTCATTCTGTTTCTACAACTCTGCTTTTCAAATAAATTTTAAAAATCTTAAAAAAAAAATGCCCTTTAAAAATGCTAATACCTAATGATGTAGGAAAATGCTCAAATTTTGTTATGAAAACATTTGCTGTTTTCACTATTTCTACCAATGTTCATTTGCTCCCATAAAAGGCATGCTTCTGACTGCAAATGGGGAAACAGCCTCAACTAGGCAGTGACGCAGTGATGGCAATATGAGTGGTCCCCTAGGGAAACAGGAAGAAGGGAAGGGAGTGCCAATGACACCAGTGGGCTGGAGATGGGAGAGGTGAACAGATGAGCTGAGTCAGCAAGAAACGGATGACCAGCCAGGTGACGGAATAGGAGTCCAAGCACAGATCAACAGAAACAGGAACGTGTGCACGGACGTGAGCATCAGGGACCTGCGTGAGGCTGGAGGGGGACCTACCACAGAGGACACTGATCCTGAAGACCAGGAGAAGCACCACAGTGGCATGACAGAATGAACTGACGCTCGTGAACAGAACACTCAAGCAGTGGTGGGACAAAGGTTGGAATATACGTGACTGGGGACAGCAGACAAATTAACTAACCCAGTGATGGAAATCTAAATGCAGGCTGAAGCAGCTGAGGTAAACAGGGGAAGGACTGAGAAATACTTTCTTTAGAAAATACATAATTTTTTAAAATTTAAAAAACATTAAAATATATTTAAATAAAATACATATTTTATTTTAAAAATTATTTAAAAAAATATATATATATATATACACACACGGACTGTATATATTCCCCATCCACAATCACCAGGATCCCACATGGGCACTGGTTTCTTGTCCTGGCTACTCTACTTCCAACCCAGCTCCCTGCTTGGGGCCTCGGAAATCAGTGGAGGATGGCACAAAATCTTGGAACCCCTGCACCCACATGGGAGACCCACAAGAAGCTCCTGGTTCCTGGTTTTGAATTGCTTCAGCTCTGGCCATTATAGCCATTTGGGCAGTAAACCAGGGGATGGAAGATCTCTCTCTCCCCCTTCTCTTTGTAAATTTGCCTTTCCAACAAAAATAAATAAATCTCTTAAGTTACACATATACACATATACACACATACACAGATCTTTCATCTGCTGTTTCAGTTCCTGAAAGAGAGAAATTTTCCACCTGCTATTTTATTTTATTTTCCAAGTTGTTGCGGCAGCTGGGGCTGTGCTAAGCCTAAGCCAGGAGCCAAGCTCTTCTTCCTGGTCTCCTATTGGGTGCAGGGGCCCAAGCAACTGGGCCATCCTTACTGCTTTCCCAGGCACACTGGAGGGAGCTAGATCGAAAGTGGAGTAGACAGGACTCGAACCAGTAAACATATGGAAAGCTGGCACTGCAGATACGGACTCAACTTGCTATGCCACACCACTGGCCCTAAGACATGACTTTTGATCAAGAGGGTAGGAGGCCCTCTGAATATAGGAAATGAAAAAGAGAAAACTGTAGCAGATTTAGTATTTTTTGGAGGAATGTTTGAAATTACGCTGATAACCAGTTGTTTCTTCCAATAGCTAACATAGAATTTGTGCCTCATCAGCAGATTGAGGTAGACCCTTCCCAGAGCACACAGATGTATACTTCCCCGTGCTGTGGCAAGGTCCACAAGGAAGACAACTCACTTGAAGCTTGCCCAGTGGTATGTGCGCATCTCCAGGAACCGGCAGACCACCATGCCCAGCCAGATGCCGCCGCCGTTACACAGCAGGATGTCCAGGATGACCTGATCCCACCAGCACTCCGCGAAGTTGGGCAGGAGATGCATGAAGAAAAGCTAAGGAATACAAGAGACCAAAGCTGGGTGCCACGCGGGGAAAGGCACTTCCATTCATAGCACATGTACACCGATTTAGAACCGACGCTAGTCCCCGCCTTCCCTCCCCCCTGTCAAATGCAGTAAAATAAAATAAATAAACTTTTAAAAAACAGTAATGGGGGTGATTATCTGGTTCTATGTAAAATTTTTAAAAAAATTTTTGAGGCAGAAAGACATACAGAGCTACCACCTACTCCCCAAATGGCCACAATGGAGTCGGGCTGAAGTTGGGAGCCGGAAGGCAATTGAGGTCTCCTACCTGGGTAGCAGAAATGCAGTGGCCTGAGCTACCAGTGGTGCCTCAACAGATCTGCTTGAGCAGGAAGCTGGAATTAGGACCTGGAGCAAAGCTCCTGAAACCAGGAGCTCTGATGTGGGACAGGAAACCTCTAAGCAACCTTAACCACTGGGCTAAACACCCACCCTTGTTCTTATTTTTCCTTAATGTCCTAAGATGCTTGGCAAACAACACTCATCCAAATAGCTCCTCTTCTGTTGACATGCAGCTTTAAAGAAAAGATGGTCCTTCTTTAGAAAACAGCCATGAGTTGCCTTGGCTCTAAGACAAGAATGTAGGCAGGGGGACCTAAGGAAAGTTTACATAACTGATGACAAAGCACTGGCCAAATTCTGAAAACAAACTGTCTGAGGGTTCAAGTTGTGCATTTGGGAAGTGTTTCAGAGATATCTTGATCAAATAATGAAGTCGTAACTGCTGAAAAGGCAGCTCAGGATGACAGGATGCAGGCTACCAATAGCTGCAGAACTCTCAGACTAGCTGACTCACAGTAAAGACAACAGGGCTGCTGATGGGCATGGAAATGAAGGGTGCTGATTTCAAGGGGAGGAGTCAGATCAGTGTGTGTGTGTGTGTCTATGTCTGTGTTTCTAAGATTTCCTTATTTTTATCAGAAAGGCAGATATACAGAAAGCAGGAAAAAGACAAGAAAGGTCTTCCCTCTGCTGGTTCACTTTCCGAAGTGGTCGCAATGGCCAGAGCTGAGCCTATCCTAAGCCAGGAGCCTCTTTCTGTTTCCCACACAGATACAGGATCCCCAGGTTTCAGGCCATCTCTGACTACTTTCCTAGACCACAAGCAGGGAACTGATTCAGAAGTGAAGCAGCCAGGACACAAACTGGTGTCCACATGGGATCCCAGGGCATGCAAAGTAAGGATTTAGTCACTAGGTTATGGCTTCAAGCCCAAGGAGTCAGATCTATACCTGGATTCTCAGAGCCACAGAGTAGGCTGGATGGGAACATTCCGAGATGACCTAAGTGGAGTATGGCAGGGACAAAGTGGGTTATTTGTTTGTTTGTTTGTTTTTGTTTTTCCTGAGAACAACTGGTGAAAGCTTCTGGAAGGACAACACATCTGAGTGGGAATAAGAGGCTGACACAGATGAGGAAAGGGGAAATAATGAGGCATAGGTTGGAAGCAAAGTCTCCCTTGGAGAACATTCTACTTAAACAAAGGGTGCACCACCATGTTCGTCCAGAGCATCATGTCCTGACGTGTGAAGGCCATTTTGAGAAAGTGAAAACATAAAGGCAACGCCAAGGAGTCCTCTGGAAACAGAGTCTGGCAGTGACAAACCCCTGACAATCTGACAAACACTGCCAAGCTACAATGCTCAGCTACAGACTCATACACAAACATGAGGCATTTGTGCGAAGGGCTGTGCTGTGGAGAAGCCACAGGTCAGCTGTTACGGTGGCTGGCTCCTGGTCACTCTCCCCCAAGGCAGGTGTGGCACTGCCCTGGAGTACACCCACATCCTCGGACTCAAGGCTGCGAGGCAGACTCTGCTCTTGCCCTTGAACAGGAAGACAATCTCACCAGCCTGAGGCAAGGATATCTGCAGAAGCCAAACTGTGCACCAGGGGGCCATCTCCTGAGTCTCCGTTCTCTAGGGATCTATGGGGCCTCTGTCATGTGGAAGGTAGAATACACGGGTTAGAGACAATGAAGACATGGCCCTGCCTCCTGGAAGGATGGCACATAACAGAAAATAGCTATTTATCAAGTATCTTTAATGCAATGCACATCTCAAAGCAGAGAGCAGACAGGGGCTCCATTTCCAGGCACCTGAACATGCAACATCCCAGAGGACGGTTGGGGCAGGCTTTAACGGGCCGAGCCCAGGAGAAGACAAGAGAGTTAGGTGGAATGCTCCTGGTGGGAAGAACATGAAGTCTGTAAAAAGTGAAGATGGCTAGGGCAGATAGGGTCAACATGGAGAGAGACTGCAGTGGTGGGGCCAGTCCACTTATGGCTGGCTCAGAAGTCTGGCTTCTGTTTGAAGAGTAAACAACAAGTACTGAAGAGGTTTCAGTAGGAAAAGGACTTGACCTGGGGGAGGTATGAGAAGTCTCTGGCAAAGGATAGTGTGAGGGGAAGAACCCAATGCTTTAGGTGTGAGGTGCCAGTGGGAGAGACACAATGGGAACAGAGGTATGAAACCATTGCGATGGACCACTGCATGTACACCCTCACAGGAAAGTCTACAGCACCTGGGGAGTATAGGACACCAGGGGCTGGAGAGAAGGCACAACAGCAAAAAGCCCTGCCTGCAGGGAGAGAGAGGAAGAAAAAGGCCAGGTACCTTGCACAGGGTCAGGTGGCAGATGGGTCAGGGAAATGAAAGCAGGATGGGCTGCACATCAGGAACCTTGTGCCAGCTCATTCAAGGAAGCAAGGCTCTAAGCTCTGACTCCCTCAGCAGCACTATGGGAATGTGCTACATGCCCATTCCTGATTTATGGGGAGGATGGAGATGACACAGATGTGGATGGATGAAAGCTGAGCACCTTCAACATTCACACATGGAAGTCCTAGCCTCCAGAACCTCGGAGTGTGGATTGATTCAGAAACAGAATCATTGCAGAGGTCATTAGTTAAGATCATGTCAGAGTGGAACAAGCTCCTGACCCAATCTGACTGGAGGCCTACTAAAAAGCATACTGTGAAGACTCAGACACCCACACCAGGAGGGCCAAGTGAAGAGGGAGCTTAGGTAAAACGAAAGGCTGCTGGTAGACCAGGAGATCAGAGCTCAGAGGTCTGGGGCAGTCTGCAAAACAGTCCCTAGAAGACACCAAAGCTGCTGACACCTGGGCTTCAGGGGTGCTTCAATAGACGCTTTTCCCAACTGGCATACCACCCCAGGGTATGGTCAGGACGATGACTGGCATCAAGGAACAGATTGCTGGGGCAGATGTTTGTGTACACTGGGTTACACAGTACTGGAAACACCTACATCCCACATCACACTGCTGACCCAAGTACCACAAATAACACAATTAAAGGCTGGCACTGTGGCGTATCAGATAAAGCCACTGCTTACAGCACCAGCATCCCGTGTGGGCAACTGTTCGAGTCCTGGTGGCTCCTGTTCCAATCCTGCTCTTTGCTATTGCGTCTGGGAAAGCAGTGGAAAATAGCCTAAGTTCTTCAGTCCCTAAGCCACGTGGGAGACTTGGAAGAAGCTCCTGGCTCCTGGCTTCAGACTGGCGCAGCTCGAGCCATTGCAGCCGAGAGTGAGTTAGGGGATAGAAGACCTCTCTCTCTCTCTCTCTGGAACTCTGTCTTTCAAGCAAATACATAAATTTTTCAATAATAATAAGATGATTGAAAAATAATGCATTAGTTCTCTGCAGTTCATCTTGCTGGTATTTTTCAAGAGCACATTCATTACACACTTTCCACTTTGGATCTCTGAGCTTGAGGGGCCATATTAGTTCTCAGAACAAAATAACTTGTGTGCCCTTGAAATTCCTCCAATTCTTTTTTTTTTTTTTTAATTGATTACATTGCATCATGTGGCACTGTCTCATAGGCTCTGGGATTCCCCCAACCCTTCCCCGTACCCTCTCCCCATGGTGAATTCCTCCACCTTGCTGCAGTATCACAGCTCAAATTCAATCTTGTTTCTTTCATTTCAGGCATAGAGCCCAGCATCTTATTTTCCATATAAATTCAACAGTTTTGGGGGGAGACCATATCTGGTCTGAAAGCAGAGTTGGCAGAATATCATCCTGATCAATTAAAAGCCACAATATAACATCAACATCAATTTACAACATTTTGGAATTAATTGACACGGTATTGAGTAACAGATATGTTAAAAAATACAAGTTCTTAACCACATCCTGTGATTACTTCATTGACATTTCAATTTCATTTTATACACAGAACCGGTTGCTATACACCTTAAAATGGCTATAGGGAATTATTCAGCTGTCTCGTGTCTGTTTTCATTTTAGCATTCAGCAGTTTATAGTGTTGAAGCTTAATCTTGCTGAACTTGGCAGATTTTGGGATAGTCTAAACTGGCTTATAACTCTAACAAGGCATATGTCAACAGTTGAAGTGCAGAACAGTTTTAGGAGGGGTGTGAAGAGAAATCTTTAATACCTTAGTGAGGAGTAACTAATCTTTGTGTCCTACCTAGTAAGGCATGTGTGAATCCACGCTGACCGTTTCCTGTCTGGTTTCAAGCTTTCCTTGTTGTTTTGTCTATCTATTCCAATTTGTGTGTGTGTGTGTGTGTTTTGGGGTGGGGGGCTCCAGAGCGACCCTGATGGTCACTGCAAGAGAGGGTGGGGATCCAAAGTTAGAACTAAGTGAGGACCAGAGAAAGCTCCTCTCCCTAGTCCCAAAGGAAGTTTACTGTTCTTCTTATTCTGCAGACCACTCCGGGCTCCTGGCTATTGTTCCAATGACCTTGGATCCTGCAAGGAAGGGTTTGGGCCTCTTCCATCCATGTGGTAGATCCAAACGGGGGTGGATGACCTCAGAGTTCTTGGCCTCCAAAGGCATTCCAGTTCCCCGTGGTCCCCTTGGCAGTTGGGATGCCTCCACCAATTCTATTTTTCTCAGATTGGAAGCTGGGGAGGAAATTGGCTTATCACCTTCAGAGTGAGTTTCCCCTCTACCATCTTCTGTATCCCTTGGGACTTTATGCTTCAGTTTGGTTTCATTTGTTTCTCATCAAGACTTGGGGCGAAGAAGCACATTTTATGAAGTTAACCCAGAGGGTGTGCTTCTGTTTTCTTAACAAGGGTACACAATATTCTCACAAGATGGGAAATACATTTTGTGTCTCCTTGTGTCTCCATGCTGCAGAATGGATGAACTGCTTCCAGCCAGCCCACCCTGTGGCTGCATGTGAGCCATGCATCGTCCAGGTAGCCCCTCTCACCGCGCTGCATACCTCAGTCAGCTCCCAGGTGATGCTGATTGTCCAGCACAGGCCGTAACTGCGGATCAACAGGGCCTTCATGGCCCAGCCCCAGAAGTGCCCGAACGCAAAGATGTCGAAGTGGCTGATGATGCGTTCCCAGGTGATGACATGGCAGTTCACGGCGTACTCCTATTTCACAGAAAGGGAAATCAGTGACGCCATCCGTGAAGGTCTCTGACTGTGAATGCAAAGTAGCGTTGGACCCTGACAACTGCTATACGTCTTGCTTGATTAAAAACAAACAAAACAAAACAAGAAAGTTGCAACAACTTAAGGTTCTTGAAGTAAAAGAACAGGTATTAGAGTTCATGCATCAGAACTGCCTTGCTGTGAATTGCAAATGCTGTGTTAAGATGAGAAACAATTTCACAAAGGCACAACACACGTTGTGAAGTGGCCTCACATGAGCCCATATCCTCTGGTCACAGAGTGAGTAAAAGCCAGGGATGGGGAAAAAAAAAAAAAGGTACTAAAACACAATTCCATCATACAGGTTAAAAGGTTAAAGAAGTCATAATAGAAAAATGTTTGAAGAACTGAGTGATGACAATGAATGTACAATATATATAAAACATACAGAAGTAGGCAGAACTTAGAGAAAATTGCACAGCCCACACAAGAAAACAAGTTCACAAATCGGGGAAAAAAAAAAGCAGAGTAACTCCCTCTCCAAAAATACAACAGTATTCCAAAAAAGTTTTAGTGGAAATTTTTGAATTAAAAATTAATTTTGATGCAAAAAAAAATTTTAAATCCACGTGTAATTTTTTCATTGTATGCTTTTATTAATCACTACTGAAGACTTCTCTCCTTGAATGCATATTTTAAAATTTTTGCATTAAACCAAGCTATCTTTTAACCCTGTTTTCCACAAACCTTTTAAAAAGATTTATTGGGCCTGGCGCAATAGCATAGTGGCTAAACTGTTTGCTTTGAATGTGCCAGGATCCCATATGGGTGCTCATTCCAATCCCAGCGGACCCGATTTTTGTCCAACTCCCTGCTTGTGGACTGGGAAAGCAGTCAAGGACAGGCCAAAGCCTTAGGATCCTGCACCCATGTGGGAGACATGCAAGATGCACCTGGCTCCTGGCTCCTGATTGGCTCAGCTCCAGCTGTTGTGGCCACTTGGAGAGTGAATCAGCAGATGGAGGATTTTCCTCTCTCCTCCTCTCTGTGTATCTGCCTTTCCAATAACAATAAATAAATCTTTAAAAAAATGATTTTTTTTTTAATTGGAAAGGCAGATACACAGAGAAGGAAAAAGAGAGAGAAAGATATTCTGTCTATTGGTATGCACCTCAAATGGTCGCAATGGCCAGAGCTGAGCTGATCCAAAGCCAGGAGCCAGGAGCTTCTTCCAGGTTTCTCATGCAGGTTCAGGGTCCCAAGGCTTTGGGCCATCCTCTACTGTTTTCCCAGGCCATTATCAGGAACATGAGTGGGAAGTGGAACAGTTGGGACACAAACAGACACCGATACAGGATCCCAATAGGCTGAGGATTAGCCAGTTGAGCCATGATGCCAGTACCCTCCACAAACTTCTTAAAGTAATGTATAGGCCTACATATTTTATGGATATTACATAATTTAATTGTTAATATCTAATAAAGGTTTTTAAGAAGCATGGTTCCATTTCTAGTCTTTTAAAATAGGATATACAGAAATTTCTAAATCTTTTATTTAAGTACTATGAGAACAGCTATCACGGCTCTGACTATGTAACATTGCTCAGGAACCTCTACACTTCATATCCTTTCTTAGGAAATAACCCTCTGTCATCAACCGACTGGAAATACTGCATCAACTATAATCGCTTCAAATTCTGGAAATGATGCTGAGAGCAAAAGAGCAACTCCAGGTTTCCTCTCCAAAAACCCAACACAACAGATTGCTCTCTCAGATACAGATGCACTTTAACTTGCCAAGATGGAAGGACATCTGGTGCGATGCGATATGACAAGGAAGTCAGAGATCTGGATAATGGGGGATAATATTCAATAGGGCTAGCTGCCCCACAATGAGATGAAGATCCTCCCCCTCGACTATGCAATCTGTGCTCCTTGCTGCACAGAAGCCCAGGCTGGTGGCAGGGGGCAGCCCTGAGACCGGGCAGGTTGTCTGTTAGAGTCCCCGTGGCAGCATGGGCCCCCCCATCAGCCCTGAATTCCTCACGCAGCCTGCCCCCTTACTCTGCTCAGGGCAAGACCTGTTTCCAAACAGCTGTTCTTGATGTCACCAAGGCTGTGGGGGATTCGGAGGCCTCTGAACTCTGTGAAATTATTTCTAGGTTTTGACACATGGGGAAAGGGGATGAACTTACAGAGTTCATGGAAAATTCACCTTATCTTTTAATTCTATTTTCCCACGAATTATTTTGAAGCCCCCTTGTGATTTAAAAGTCACAAAGAACTGAAGGTATACACCAGCATTATAATCATTAATGAGCAGATCTGCCAAGTATCACCTGTGAAAGACCCTAAGGTTGCAGGCCAAAATCCAGAGAGGCACCGACCTGGAAATAACCATTGGAAATTGGTTCCAGGACCTCCATGGAAACCAAAACTCCTAGGTGCTCCAGCCCTTATATAAAATGGTACAGAATCTACACACACCCTCCGGTAGCCTCTGAAACATACCTAGGTTACTGGTACTACCTATTTAAGACTAAAAAGATCTTATCCACTTTTGCTTCCTGGAATCTATTCTCTGCAAATAAAAGGATTTCAGTGATCAAATATCAGATCATTATGTGCACAGGGTATATATGCACACATGTGCGCATGCATGGTGCCTGTATAGCATCTGCAGGTATACATGTGCCTGTGTATGCTGGGAAAGGGGGTCCATCTCCATGGTCACACAGCCCAAGCTTCTGGCACTGCTCTGTCTTCTCTTTGCAAGGGAAGAGGTTCAGTCTCTCTTGAATCCTCTTTGGAAATGATTTGCCTGCAGACAGCACCAGGTTCCATCTGCCCCCTCAACCCTATAAAAATACTTGTGGGTTAGGCCCTATCTTGTGAAAGAAGCATGTGGTTATTTGGAGGGCAAGGGAAGACAAGCTTGCCAACCTGGTTTGCTAAAGCCACCTGCTCCACTGAACTTTGACGGGAAGAAATCAGCTGCTACTATGAAGTAGGACTAGAGGATGGGGTATTACTGACTCATCCCTTAAACGTCAACACAGATGTGATTCCACTGCTTATTCTACACCACCATGACCCCCTATCACACTTAGAATAACTTCAGATGTCATGCCACTTGGCTTGGACCTCCAGCCTCTGGGATGACCCAGCTTCCAGCATATCTCTGGCTCATGACTGACAGCAGCTCCCCCGACCACCTCCACCTGGCCTGGCTTACTCCCCCTCATTTCTCAGTTGTTAAATTAACCATCAGTTCTGGGTGGCGGCTTCCTTTGAGAATTTCTAATGTCACCCACTTCTTTCCGCTACAGCGCTGCATCCAAATGAAATGATCACACTTTCTGGATTCTATAACATGCGTTGTTCTCACTGCATTATTTTGAGAACTGGGATGAATATTTCAATATACTGTAATGCTTGGCACTTTAAAGATTTTCTTTTTCTATTCCTTCCCCAACGATATGTCTACAGCTAATAATTGATAGTACATCAAACAGTACAATAATTTGTACTAAGGAACTATCTTTTTTTTTTTAATTCTGTTGACAGGCACAGAGGGGAAGGAAGGAACTTTTACCCTCTTTTTCATCCCTCAAATGCCCACAACAGCCAGGGCTGAACTGGAGCCAGGGCCAGGGACCTGAGAACTCAATCTAATTCTCTCACATTGCGGTAGGAGCCTCATCACCTGTATTATTACCATAAACTCCCAGGCTCTGCTTCTGCAGGAAGGCAACCAGGTCTCAAACTCACACATGCTAATATGGGATGTGGGCGAAATACCCACTGTGAGGCTAAATACCCACTCCCACAAGTAATCTTAAGGTTATAAGACTGAGACCAGGAGTGAACGCTGTGGGTAGCTCATTCAGACGCCCCTTGTGGGGCTGGCGCTGAGGAATACTGGGCAGCTCTATGTTTCAAACAAGTAAATAAATCTTAAAAGAAAAGACATGTGTTGGGATGTCTGCAACCCCCACCGGAGTGCCTGGGAAGCAGCGGATGATAGCTCAAATACATAGGAACATCTCAATGGAGTTCCTAAGCCCTGCATTCAGCCTGGCCCAGCTCAGAAGGCTTTTAGCCACTTAGAGAGTGAAAGAGCAAATGCAAGTCCTCTCTTTCTTCTAAAGGAAGGTAAATAAGCTTTTTAAGAAGACAGAGAGAAGGGCAGCTGCTCTGTGGGCTATCAGGAGCCACCTGAGAAGCAATTCCTCAACAAAGACTGAATTGGGATCTGGAATCCTATCCAGCTCTACACCAATTTTCACTTTATAAGAAATGCAGACGGAAGAGAGATACTTTCATTAGCACCTGCAAATGCGAGCTACAAAATCCAAATGTGAGAACACTATAGAAAAAAAAATATAAATAATTCATTCAACAGATTAAGGACAAAGGGGGTGGGGAAGGGAATGATAACCATCAAAAGAGATTCAGGAGAGGCATCAAATGCAAGGTGTGTGCCTTGCCTAGATCCTATCTATCATCAAGCAACTAAGGCAACATGAATTTTGGCTGTAAGCCGCCGATTATAAACTGGTTATTGTTAAAAAATAATAATAATAAAGAACTTCATAAATTTTAAGTCTTAAAATCCACTTCAAAAATAACCCCAGTTATGGGGAAGGGGAGAGGAGGATTAATTATAAATGGAGCAGGTGTTGGTAATTATTGATATTGGGTACATGGGAGTTACAGATTCTCTCTATTCTGTGTATGTCTGAAATTTTCCATAACAATGAAAAAAATTGGGGGAGTGATCTTTGGATTTAAAAGTGCACAGGGAAACACTTAAGTTTGCCCTTTCATAGCCTCTAGGCTTCAAGAGGATGGGGTGTTTCCACCTGAGCCCACTTGTCACCAGCATGCTGTCACACAGGGACAGTCAGGTCATAACCCACTGAAGAAGAGGAAGAGGAGAGGAAGAAGGAGAAGCAAGAGAAGGAAAAGCAAGAAGAAGAGGAGCAGAGGTAGAAGTAGAAGGGGGAATGGGGAGGGAGGAGATGGCAGCTGTTTCAAACAACCCACTTATAAAGGAAGTGTGTGCACAGTCTGTCTAGGGCTGGGAGCACCTATTTTTGAATTGAATAAATATTTTAAAACTTCCCAGACAATTATATAAAAACCTGCCTCTAATAATATTTCAGCACCCACCCCCTGCCATACCCATTCCAACCTGTAATATTAAATTTAAGGGGAGTGCAAGCTGCAGTATAAGCTGCCAGGCACAGACTAGTCTATGAGTCAATTTGTCTAGGAAGGGGTGTCAGTGGTGACAGAAAGGGGGAGAGCAGGGAGGGAAGGCAACCCTGGGAATCACCACACTGCAGAAAGCACACCCAGGGACACCAAAGGCGTTCCTCTGGAGTCTCCTCCAGATTGCGAAAGATTATTTTAAGGAAATAAAAAGTGATTAGGGACAGAGATGGCAGAACTGCCTCAGGCTGTGTGCTCAGCTTAGTCAGAAACAATTGGCCCCTAGTTTAGGGCTAGACTGTAAAGGGCCTGTTTCAGCTATTCTGGGGCCCCAGTTTTGATATCTGAATGTCCCTCTAATGTCCTAAGGAAAGCCAGATGGTGAGTGTGACTGCTCAATGGAACTGCCCCCCTCTGGCTGTGAGAAGTGGCTCTGCAGAGACACAGCACATGGACCTGTCACTTGGCCTGAGAACACAGCTACTCCTGCTCAACGGCCCAAGATGGCTGTCTCAGAAAGTGTGGGTTCTGGGATATTGTTCCCCAGACTTGTACTGCAGAAGGCTCCTGGGAGCATCAACACACACATTACCATCCACATGAGAAACAAGTTTGGAAACCAGAAGAGACCTACTGGCTCATACTTGGAAGCAGGGTGCTGAGCCCCACTTCTCCATAAGACATGGACACCTGGCATGCATGTGCGAGGCTGATGTGGAATAGACACGGAGGGCCCCATGGCACCTGACACAGTCAGTCCCTGAGACAGCCCTCACCACAGTAGGCGTTCTTCACGCTCACAAGAGGGAATCACCTCTACCTTCTCTTCCTCTTAGTGAGAGATCCCAAGGCAGATTTGCCCCCTGACATGTCTCATTCTCAGCATTCTCCTGCTGCTTTAAGTGTGTCTCTAAAAAGCTAAAGATAAATAAGAACACAATTCCAAGAAGGGACTGACAAACATCCATAGTTAATCTTGATGCCCCGAGCTGATCTGTCCACAGCTTCCATGCTTGCTCTCCCTCAGCACCACTGGGTGCTTCCACCTGGATCAAATGCTCGGCATAAAAATAAACTGGAAAAAAAACCAACTTCACAGCAAAATCCTATGATACTGTGATCTACAGAAGAGACAGAGTTGAGTCCTCATCCCAGCTCCTGGCCCGCAGTACCAGAAGCCCTGTGATTTCCTGATATAGGGAGGGGATACTAGGTGCTTCTTTTGTTCCAGTATCTCACCTTTGACTCCAGCTCCTGACACAAAGCTCTAAATCCCTTGGAATTCGGGGGTGGGGGGAGCAGGGAAGAGGGTGTCTTTTGCTTTCACAAGGCAACTCTTGATGGGCTCCTAGATTAGGGGCTGATAACCCAATGACCAAGCCACAATTAGAGACTCTGAGCTTTCAATACCACACCTCTTACTTCTGGGAAAGGGGGAGAGACTAGAAATGATTTAATAACAGATCATGCTTATGTGATGAAAGCCTCCATGAAAACCCCTACACTACAAGGCCCAGTCTTGGGGTGCCACTGGCAATCTACTACTTGCAATGTCAGCATCCTGTATCAGAACACTCTTTACTTCCCATCCAGCTCCTTGCTGATGTGCCTGGGAAAGAAGGGGACAATGGCCCAGGTATCGGGATCACTGCCACCCATCTGGGAGACATGAACAGAGTTCCTGGCTCCTGGCTTTGGCCTGGATTGGCCCTGGCCTTTGAAGTCATTTGGAGAGTTAACTAGCAGATGGAATCTATTTCTCTCTTCTTTCTCTCCTCCCGCTCTGTCATTCTACCTTTCAAATAAATAAATGAATCTTAACAAATGAGCCAAAAAAACAAACCCAAAACTACAGAGTCTGGAGTGCTTTTGGTTGGCAAACATATCTACCTGCAGGGAGAAATGTGTGTCCCAACTACTCAAGGACAGAAGTTCCTGCAACAAGGCCCCTTGTGCATCTTGTGTAGCTGTTCACCTGCTGTTCACCTGTGCCCTTGGTCACATCTCTTCTCATACACCGACAAGAGTGAGCATGTCCTTGGATTCTATGAGCAATTTCACATAACTGAGGCCAAGGAAAATGATGTGGGGAGCCTGTTCGTAGCTCGTGGGCAGGAAGTACAGATGATAACCTGGACTTGGGACTACGATCTGAAAGGTGAGTGCTTCTGGGATTCAGTCATACCTGCAAGGAGTGAATGTCAGTACAGAAAGCCCTGCCAGGCCCCCAGTTGCTGTCAGGAGAGCTGGACAACAGTTGGGCCAGGGAAATCCTATGCACCTGGTCACTTCCAAGAGTGTGGGGCAAACAGCTGGCTGGCTTTCTCCATGTGCATAGTCTCATCAGGAAACACTTAAACCACAGCAGTTTTAACCAAGAATAAATCAGGTTCAGGAGGCTTAGTAAAAGTAGCAAGCAAAACAGCCTAAATCTTAAGGGTTGGCCTCCTCATGGCCAATAGGGATGCAGATCACAGAATCAGGGCTGAGGTGTTTGAGAAGGATGCTGACGGAGTGGGAGCAGCTGCCAGCCTGGGGGATCCTGAGCGTGCGAGGCATGGAGAAGGGCTCAGCCTGGGCCTTAGCCTGGAGACCTGGTGCTTAGGTATCTCCAACAGCAAAAGTGGGGAAAGAACACTTCACACTTGACACCCACCACTCTCCCACAGAGTACCTACCATGATATCGGCTTCCCTGGTGGCGTAGCGAAGGTTCGGGTCCAGCCAGTACATGAGGGACTTCACCTGCTCGAAATTCAGGAAGAGGAGGAACACCAGGAACAGGAAGTAGAGTACGCTGAGCCCTGAGGGAGACAAGCACTGGTTCAAGGTGGAGACAGACCCAACTGTCAGACACCCATCCTCCTACAGACTCAAATAGCTTTTTGTGAACATCAGACCAACTAGGGTCATACAGCCTATTGAGACCTCTGTTGCATCTGACCATGTAGCCTGAATTACAATCCTAATTCAGATGGGGGAGGGAGGGGGCAATCAGTATGATACCTGGGGGAGCATGAAACAGGCAGGTAGGGAAAACACCTCTAGCACTTGACATGTGCCTGCAGGGCTGGCAAGGAGGGACAGAGCCGGTGGCGCTGAAATGACAGGTTGGTCTTGCAGGCCACAGCAGAGACTTCCAACACTATCTTAAGTTAAACCAGGAAATAAGATCAACTAGGTAATATTTTGTGAAGCCAATTAAAGTAAAGTTCGGCTTTGGACCACTCAGTCTAGAGGCCACTTTTTTACTTCCGGTGAAAAGTGTGAGTGTGCCTTGAGGAGTCAGACTGCAAGGTAGCCTTCACAGCATTACTTTAATCGCTATCCTAATAGCCCCACATCATGTAAAAAAGACAGTAAGGTACTCCATGAGGTAAAAAGCTTGTGTGTGACATCACAGAGAGATGTGAAGCCCCAACAAGCAGGGGCTTTGTCATCTCTTGATGTTGAACCTCTTAGAATTAGAATGTTTCCCAAAGACATCCAGACACTGGAAGGCAAAGGACCTTGGACTATGGCACCCCATCCAAACTCAGGTCAGCACTCACTGCCATGAATCGCTCCAGAGGAGTGTCCAGCCTTGGAACAGGTCCACTGTGAGCACCATAGTAGTACCACACTTTCAGCTGGACCTCGCTCAGTGCCAGGGGAGCTGGGTGAATGCCTAGCAGAATAACGCCTGACCAAAACTGTGCCCAAACTGCCTAAGAGGGTCCAAAGAACACAGTTTTAGGCACGATGGTATATAATGTGCTTTAGGCTTGCATTAAGGAAATTTTCACCTTTATATTTTTAGTCATCTGACAACTTTAAGATCGAGAGCAAGTGTCTCTGGCACACGGGTCCTTAAATGAAGCTTTATGCTCTGTGAAGCTCTGCAGAGCCCATGTGTATGAGAGGACACCTGTGTGTACTGGGAAGGCGTATCAAAAGATCCTCAGGTAAGAAGCCAAACTATGGGGCCATGGGGTGAAGACCCGGTTTGCATTGCCAGGAACCCACATAGGCACCAATTCCAGTCCCAATGCTTCACTTCTGATCCAGCTCCCTGCTAATGTGCCTGTGAAGGCAATGAGGAATGGCCCAAGTGCTCGCACTGCTGCACCCATGTGGGAGACCCAGAAGAAACTCTTGGTTTCAGCTCAATCGAGGAACAAACACACACAGATGGAAGATCTATCTGTCTCTCACTCTTTGTAACTCTGTCTTGCAAATCAACAAACAAAATCTTGAAAAAAAAAAAAAAACTGGGATGGGGCCAACTAGGCGAAAGTAACTAGCAATATTAGTCGGTAATGTCAAGGTCATGGAATATAGTGACCCAGTCTAACACAGCAGAGTTGCTTATTAATCACAGGAGTGATCATGTCACTCCTGTGACTCCCTGCTGCCCCTCAGCTCAAGCTCCTGACCCTGTCCACAGTCTCGTGTGACTCTCTGTGGGCCTCACCCTAGACCTGTCTTCTCCCTTCTTCCGGGGCCCACTGTGCTTGCTTGGGCAGCACTGCTGTGGGAGTCCGAGCTCTTTAGAGCTATGGGGCCTTATCAAGAAAGAGCAGGGCTCCCCCTGACCTTACTGCCCCCAGCTCAGGTGCTACAGGCTCGGAACTCTCCTTGCCTGTGAGTTTCCAGTCAGCATCTTACCCTCAGGCCTCTCCTGACCACTCCAAGTCACCCAGTCACCCGGACACCTGGCCAGGGACCTCACCTGATTCTAACTCACTGCCAACATCATGTGATAGCTGGTGTGTTCTGATGCGTGATTTGTTTATTTTCTACATTATCGGCCTCCCCCGATGGAAGGGTGGGTCCACAGAGTGGGCTCTTTGTCTGTATACTTGTTCTCCCACCCAGGCCTCAACCCACGGCCTCAGGGTCCAGAGCAGCCACTGTCACTGTTCCATGACCACTGAGCAAAAAGTTCACCAACAAATTCAAAGGGGTGAACAGCTACCTGTGGTCTCCGAAGGCTGAAAGAAAAATTGCCCGATAATTCACTCCCCAAGAGGCTGCAGTGGCTGGAGCTGAGAAAATCCAAAGCCAGGAGCCAGGACTTCTTTCCTGTCGCTGACGTGGGTGCAGGGTGCCAAGGCTTTGGGCCATCCTTGACTGATTTCCCAGGCTATAAGCAGGGAACTGGATGGGAAGTTGGGCTGCCAGGATTCAAACCTGTGAGGAGCAGGTGCCGGAGCGGCCCCCATGAATATGAAAGGCCATTGCAGGAGGGCAGCTGGCCCAGAGCCAGGAGGCGGGATTGGTCTCGCCAGCAGGTAAACAGGAAGCCACAGGGAAAGGCTGATGCCCTCGCTGCGATTATGTCATTGCTACTGGCCTATGAGGTAGCGCCAAGTGGACCCACGGGAGGGAAAGAGATTGGTGGAGAGCGGTATAAAAGCAGCCACTAAAAGCAATAAGAGCGACTGGGAGAAGAACAGGGAAGCAGAGAGGGATAGGTACAAAAGCAGTAAGACCTACAAGGAGAAAAGCTAAGGCCTACGAGGAGAAAAGCTAAGGCCTAACGAGGAGAAAAGCAGCGGAGAGAGGGCTAGAAAAGTGGCAGAGAGGGGTACAAAAGCAGTAAGACCTACAGGGAGAATGGGGAGTAAAGCTAAGGAGAAGAAAGGGGAGAAAAGCTAAGACCTACAGGGAGAAAGGCAGCGGAGAGAGGGGTATAAAAGGAGCCTCTGTGGGCTATAGGAGTCGCAGTTCCTGACCCTCAAGAGTGTACCTTGTTGGTAGTGTCGCTGCAGGTCAGTGATATAAACCGGCACCCATTTGGGATCCTAACACATACAAGGTGAGGACTTTGGCAACTAGGCTATAGCGTCAGTCCCAGAAGGCTTCTCTTTTCCACTTTCTTTCCTATTCACATCATTGGCAAAATGGCACGCTGAGTTTCCGTTCCCTTCTGGATGCAGACCAGACAACATGCTCAGAGGACACACACACAAGCTTGCACTGGAACAGAACCATGTAGGGGCACAAATGGAAATGAGCAATGATCCTCAGCACGTGAAGATCAACAGTGTTGAAAGGCAGCAGGTGGAGCAGAAACAGTTCCCAGGTATGAGAATGTATGTCACTGTTGGTACCCCATTTTCAGTCTAAACATGTGAATAAACTTATATTATGAAACCACTAGGAAAAAAGCTGTCAAGCTTCAGCCGTACAACAGCAAAACTGCAACAATGATACACAGAAATGTTAAGAAGCTGACGACACTTTTACATCTATCGGAAACTCACCAAAAACCATTCGCCACAAGGCTGGATGGGGCCGAGTAAATGGACCTGCAGGCAGAAAACATAACATCGTTAGAATGAGCTGGCTGCAGACAGAGCAGACTACATACAAGTCAAGAGGTAACAAGAAGAAGCTGGCACTATTTCGGCCAAATAAACACTGGATGCCAAAGTCTAGGTCAAAATGTTGGACTCACACTGTTATCCACGCTGCACAATACTTCCTCCTCCCATCCCCAAGCGTTTTCTTTACAACTCAGAACACAATTTGTCAGGGAGAACAATGTGGTAACAGTGAGTGAAGCCATCAGCCTGCTGTAGGTAACACAGATGGTAGTTGCACAAGCAAAAGCTCCCAGTGGGACCAGAGCCCCAGCGGCGATGGACAGCTCAGGGAGCTAGTGAGCCTGAGACCAAACTTAACCCTAAGTGCAATGAATATACCAACATTTTATCTTCCGTTTAAAAGAAGAAGAAAGTAAGCTGGGCCTTGATACACTAAGCTGGTTTACTAGTCACTGAAGTTCCAGATGCAAATATGGAATGCCCAGCTGGAGGATATCCTGTTTGGGCTGTCTGTACCTTTTGAACTGCAATTCCTGTGCACTTGGGGAAGTTCTAGCATTAGGAGTCTCATATTCCTAAGAGAGATGCCATATCCTGTTTCCCACTCTTCTCTACAGGTAGGGCAAGGTTTTCAGTTGCACCTGTGCCACACTTGACCCCTGGAATGGAGGGCAGTACACACAGGTCTGCAATACTCCTCTTTACATCTCCCTGCCCCTGCTCTCTTCATCTGTCTCCCTCCTCTGCCTCTCTTTCCTGACCAGCAGGGACAACAGCAGGGCCCAGTGGTGGAGATCCTTAAACTAGGGTGGCACTGGGCATGGTGGCAGCGCAGTCCCATTAGAGTTCTGGCAGAAGTGACAGCTAAGCAGAGTACAAGCAGTGCTGGCTGGAGTTTCTTGTTAGACTAGTTCTGAACTGACATTTATCCCCAGAGCCACAGCCTGAGGCCTGGTGTCCCAACCCTGGTCAGAGGCTGGGAGCCACACCCACAAACTTTAAGAAGTACTTTAATGAGCAGTTGGCTTCTGCGGCCTATAACCTTGAATCTGGTCTAATGCAAACATTACATTGTAAATTTTACTCTGAAAATCATTTTAAAATCATCTATCTGCTTTTCAGATTTATTTAACTGAAAGCAGAGTTGGGGTTGGAAGGGTTGGAAAAAGAGAAAAAGAGAGATAGCATCCATCCACTGGTTCACTCCCCAAATAGTTACCACAGCTAGGGCTGGTCAAGCCAAAGCCAGAAGCTTCACGCTGGTCTCCCACTGTTCTCCCAGGAGTTGGATGAGAAGTGGAGCAGCTGGTGCAGCGGCACAGCAAGTTAATCCTCCAGCAGCACCAGCATCTCGTTCCTGTACCAGCTGCTCCACTTCTGACCCAGCAACCTGTTTATGGACTGAGAAAGCAGTGGAGTGGGCCCCTACACCCGTGGGAAACCTAGAGGAAGCCAGACAGGAGGGGATTGTTGGTGAGTTTTGGCCACAGATGAGCTGAGGCCCTGGAGTAGAGAGCCCTAGTCAAAACCCACTCCAGGCAGTGAGCACAGTGGTTAATACAGCGGGTAATCCCATATCCAGAGTGTGGGTTTGAGTCCTAGTTCTGCTTCCAATTTTGACTTCCTCCTGATGGGCACCTAGGGAGGTAGCAAGTGATGAATCAAGTACCTGGGCCCCTGCCACCCATGTAGGAGACCCGGCGTGAGTTCTACACTCCTGGCTCCTGCCTGGCCCAGCCCTGGCTGTTGCAGTTATTTGGGAAGTGAATCAGTGGATGACAAATCTCTCCTTTTGTCTCCCATTCTCTGCCTCTCCGTCTCCAAAGAAAAGAAGCCAATGCAGGCTTTGCTTTACTCATCAAATCTGCCTTTCTCGAAGGGTTGAGGCATCATAAGTACCTACCTACACTGCCTTCTCAACAGCCCTGGACTTTTTAATGTCATATTTAAGAAGTATATTCTAGAAGCATGATACCTTAAAGAAGGAGTGTTATTCACTCAGAGGGCCATCTTTACCAAAGACAGTAATATTGGTAAGAAAATATTTTTTAGGGTTTTAGCATAGCGGTTAAACTCATCACCTTGAGGGTGCTGGGATCCCATATGGGCGCTGGTTCTAATTCTGGCAGTCCCGCTTCCCATCCAGCTCCGTGCCTGTGGCCTGGGAAAGTAGTCGAGGACAGCCCAAAGCCTTGGGACCCTGCATCCACATAAGAGACCCAGAAGAAACTCCTGGCTCCTAGCTTTGGATTGGCTAAGCTCCAGCCATTGTGGCCGCTTGGGGAGTGAACAATTGGATGAAAGATCTTCCTCTGTTTCTCCTCCTCTCTGTATTTCTGACTTTCCAATAAAAATAAATAAATCTTTAAAAAAAAAAAAAAGCAAATATTTTTTAAGTCTGGGATGAGATCGACTGCTTTTTTTTTTTCTCCTATACTGTGAGCCTTGACACCTAGGTCCCCTAGGTCACCCACACACAGTGACACCAGTCTTGGTATCATATGTGAGGGTGCTAAAAATGCATGAGGAAGTGTCATGGGGCAGTTCCATGTCCCACAGCATCCACCTGCTTGACACATGAGCCATCCATACGTTTTCCTGTGGACATTCCCTGTTCTTACTTCCTTTCTCACGCCCCATGCTGCTTCCCAGCAGATTCGCCCCATTGGTGTTAGAACACTAGGTCTCCTTTGATCCCTCTGAAGATGGCTAGGGCCTCAGGATCCTCGGGAAGATTCTTTCTAGGATGGACTTCCCACAAAGATTTCCGCTTTGTTTCTGAGATGATAAAAGCTGCACGGGGGGTGGGGGGGATAGGCTTCTGGAGCAATGGCTAAGACAGTGTCTGAGGCACACCTCCCATGTCGGCATGCTTGGGCTTGTTCCTGCTTCCTGCTTTCTGTAAAAGCATGCGCACCCTGGAGGTAACAGGTGCGATGCAGGTATCTGGGTCTCTGCATTGAGGAGACCTGCATCGGGTTTCCAACTCCTGGGCATGTGGGGAATGAACCAATGATTGGGAGGTTTTTGTTCTGTTTGTTTCTCTCTGCCTCTCAAATTAAAAAAAAATTAAAATAGCTGCTTTTGTTTATTCATTTAGAGCTGCATCAAACATGATGGAACCACCATTAGATTCCTGGTGTTTTTGTTCTTGATGAGGCAGGAGAAACAGGGCAAGTGTCAGAAACAAAACGCTGATTTCTTCTGAATTGTTGCTTCCTTGTAGGGCAAATTTAAAAATTATGTCTTTCACTTCCTTTATCAGTCCCTACATCTAGAATACAAGATTTTCAATCAGATACCAGGAGCAAGCTTGACTTCACAAGCAACACCTGTGTCATCAGAAGAGCTAGCATTCACACAACAACTTCGGCTATTAGAAAAGAAGATCACTGCCAGGCTCGCATGGCAGTCATTTCTGTGAATTATTGTTTAAGAGGCTGAACTTAGAAAAAACACGGGGACTGCGTGCAACAGGTCCAACCCACTCATATTTACAGGCAGGAGGTCCCAGGCAAGTTTCTTTGTCAAGCTTCTTCATCTCTTGATGAATACGGAAGTTTAAATTCTTATAGGAACATCTTGGAACGATGAAAAAAAATGATCTCCAAATAAGTCCCCTCAAAAAAGAAATGGGGGCCCTGGTATTGTGGCATAGCTGGTAAAGCCAACACCTATGGTTCCAGCACTCCATATGAGCCCTGGTTCATGTATCAACTACTCCACTTGGGATCTAGCTCCGTGTGAATGGCCTGGGAAAAGCAGCTAACATGGCCCGATTGCTTGGGTCCGTTACTCACATGAGAAACCTGGAAAAGCTTCCTGGCTCTGGGCTTTGGTCCTGCCCAGCACTAGCCATTGTGAACATCTGGGAAGTGAATCAACAGATGGAAGATTCTCTCTCTGTAACTGTGCCTTTCAAATAAGTACAAAATTTTAAAAGAGAGATAGAGAAGAAAGAAGGAAGGAAGGAAGGAAGGAAGGAAGGAAGGAAGGAAGGAAGGAAGGAAGGAAACAGGAGGTAGAAATGAAGTAAGGGCTAGAAAATAGGAGACAATTTTTTTTTTATTTGTAAATGGTTTCGTTTGGAAATGGTTTTAAAATCAAGGACACATGAGGAGCATTACTTGGGCCCAGAGAAGGCAACAGGAGACAGAAGTTCATCAAGGAAAGTTCAGGAAAAGTGGGCTGGTATTTCTCTTCTCCTGAAACCTTAAAGAACTGCTGAGGATGGGGTGCAGTGCTGCAGCAGATCATGCTGCCACCTGGGATTCACACAGCCTGCATGAGAGCGCCTAGGATCAGGTCCTGCCTTTGCTTCCAAAACAAGCTCCTGCTAATGCTCCTGGCAGACAGTGGGTGATGGCCCAAGTACTTTCGTCCCTATCACCATGGAGATCCTGGCTCCTGGCTTCATGTGGTCCAGCCCTGGCTGTTGCAGACATTTGCAGGAGGGAAAAAATGCATGGAATATTTTCTTTCTCTCTATCTCTCTCCCTCCCTCCATTCCCTTCTCTCTTTATGTCAGACTCCATCTTTCAAGCAAATGCACAGAAAAAAAAAATTTTTTTTAAACTATTGAACAGGTTTTCTCATGCAGACAATGACATAAAGAAGACTAATGTGGTAATGACATATTCCCTGAGAGGCTGCCGTGGGCCAAGCACTAGAGGGACAGATAAAGCTGGGCTGGGCAGGCATGGTGCCAGGAAGCCCCTAGAGAGTACGCCAGAAGGGCTGCCTGTTGAAAGAAATCTCACAGCCAGCTGGAGGCTCAAACAGGTTTCTAAATTTTACTGCAGGGATGTGGAGGAGGTAGTTAAAATTACACTCACATTTGAGGATCAGTTGCTGTAACAGGACAGGGAAAATACAAACTAAGAGATCCAGAAAAGAATGGAAAAGGAGAAGGAAGACAGGCCAATGGCATGGAGAGGAAGCTGCTGTAGGCCTCTCGGTCCTCACCTTACCCTGCTCAGCCC